TACCAAAATAGTTTAAAATCATAAGCATTGCAGCTTATTTTAATGCCTTTTAATTTTCTGTGATTAGTAACTTTAACTAATTTTAAAGCAAAAAGTGAGTCACTAATTTAAATTAGTAAACATTTTTACTAATTCAAATTTAGAGAGTACTATACTAAAGTTGTATTATTCTTAATTTTAGAATAATTTTTGTTTTTCGTAAAAATCTATTGCATTTTCCGCATTTACAAAATAATTCTAATTTCGATATAAATTTTCTATGTAAATATCCATTTTTCCTCAATAGAATATATAAAATCTTCAGCACTTAGAAAATAAGATACCCTTTGTCGTAAAAATAAATTTATGTTACTTTCAAATGGGGGAATAATGTAAACCTTATGGCAAACTGCACTTATTTTAATGCCTAATGAATACATTTATACGAAAGATTAGCCCTTTAAATGTATGTGTGTGTGTCTGTGTTTTTTTTTCAAGAATTAAAATATTTTTTTTATTTTCTTAATATAAAATAAATTTTTCTATTGATTATTGAAATTGATTATAAATAATAAATTAATTTGATCAAAAAAGGTACATGCTCATAAAGAAATAAGTAACTTAATTTATAGATATTTGTCATTGCGACGTTAACGAATTTTTTAACGAATAAAAGGTGATTGTCCGATATACATAAAACGCGCAATTAAAAAATCAACAAATGCGTAGAAAATAATAATAATTTCTAAAAAAATTTTAAAGAAAATATTTGAAAATATACCATCACACTGCGTCAATAAATTTACTTTTTTTTTCCTTCATAATAGTGAAATAAAAATTTTGTTTACATAATTATGTCGTACATAAAACGAACTCGTTACATTTTGTTTACTTTAATGTTCCAATAAATTAATCCCAAAATTCAATATATAATCACGAGTTTTAAAAAAAGAATACGATACACGCCACATACAGCAAATAAAATCATCCAACACCATTGAATAATGTCATCAGACAAAAATTGAAATCACTAAAATTTATCTTTCAAATTGAAAAAAAAAGAAAATTAAAAATTAATTTTTTAATAAAAGAAAATTTCAAAAAAATAGAGAAAAAGATTTAAAAAATTAAATACTTTTTAAAAAATAAGATTTTATTTTATTTAAAGAAAAAAAAAATAGAGAAAAATATAATTTAGATGAAAAAAAAAGATTCTTAATTGGAATTACATTTTGCCACGTGTAGGATCAAAAAAGCATGTGCAATGCACATGGCAAATTATAATTTGGCTCGATGAAAGTTAAAGTTTTTGCGTTTGTACATATAACACAGACCCCGCAGGAGTTTAGAAATAGTTTCTGCGCACAAAGAGTGTTGTCGACTTTTCTTTCTGGTTTCTGTATATGCTTTGAAAAAAAAAAAAAAAGAAAAAAAAATTGCTGCATCAAGGTACATTGAAATCACACACACACACATATGTACGGCGCTTAAAATCTCGCACGCCAAACAGTTCGCAAGCTGATGAAGATGGATGAAAGTGTCGCAAAGTATATAATGTTTTGACAAAAAGCACGCTTCATTGTGTCTAAATCTATATATATATATATATGTAAGTTTCGAATGTGACACGTGTCTATTTGAAAATTCTTTAAACACTGGGTACTCGATAAGAAAGCACCCAAGTTTATATATATATATATTTATTGAAACAAAAGTGAATTATATATTTAACGATGCCAAAATTATTTCAAATATAATTTCTATATAAATTTATTGATCAATTGCCAAATGCCTTAATATTATAACTTTAATAATGACAGATGAAACTTTTATATATACAAAATAACAAATTCAAAAGGGGTTAATAACTTCTATTTCGAGGCAAATTTTTTTTTTACATTTAATTTAAATTAATATTAAATAAATAATTTATTTAATTAATTATAAATTAATTTTTAGTAATTAAATAAAATTCATTTAAATTATGAATTATCCAATTAAAAAATTATTTATTATATAATTAAATAAATTGAAATTATCTTTGAGGATGAAAAGAAAATATTTATCTAAAGTAAAAAAAAAACGAGAGTATACGAAAAAGAAAGAATTTATGAATAGATGGTGTTTTTGGTCCATCAGCCAACATGAGGAGATCACTGCGCAAGTTAACAAAAATTACATAAAAAAGTGAAGGTGACCTGTGCGCCGTGGTGATTCATGGGGGCTGATGCCCTCGTTGTCTGGGTGTATAGGGAGCGAAATCCTCTACACTTGGTTGGTTGGCCAACCCAACTCCCATTCTTTGTTTTCAAGCTGTTTATCGACAACGAATCGGTTGAAAGTCCCGGACCAGGTTCGAGAACCTGTGCGCGATGTTTGTTTAACGATTAATGCCAGTCATTTATAATGTTTCTACAATTACAATAAAAAAAAAGCACACACACACACACAGCAATGTGTGATTTAATCGTTTAAAAATAATCCAATTCTGATAGGAAAATTTTTGAATTCATTGAACTTTCATTTTATAATAAAATATATATATATATATTAATGGAAGATTTTATATAGTGTTTTTTTATTAAAAAAAATTAAAATTTATTTTAATCAAAAATATCTATATAAAAAAATTCTCATTATCAAACTATTATTTATATTAATACCGTCTATTAGTGATATTTGTTTAAAATTAACGTCTATACCATAAATTGTAATTACCGTTTATTATTAATTGAAATTTATAATTACTATTATATTTAAAAATACCTCTGCGTGGGTATTTTAATTCAATTGAAGTTATCACATTGTAACTACTGTCTATTATAATTACCATCAACTAAAATTATCAACGAAAATAAATTTTCCGATTGATTTTTTTTTATAAATTATATTTTATAAATAATTGAAATTATCTTCTAATATTCAATAACTGGAGAAAATTTTCAATTATTCCATTACATAATTGAAAATAACTTCATAAATATAATAAAAAAAAAATAATAATAATAATAATAATTGAAACTGTCTTTAATTATTCAATAAAATAATTGAATGTACCTTCAATTATTGAATCAATTAAAAAAATATCGTCAATTATTTAATTAAATAATTTAAGATAATTTCAATTCTTTAAATTCAATAATTGAAAATATCTTTAATTACTGTATCAAATATTTATAAAAATATCTTCAATTATTGTATCAATTATAATTGAAAATATCTTGATATAATCATCATATAATCAAAAGTCAGTAAAATAATTGAAATTAGCTTTAAATAGTCTAGAAAATGATTGACATTAGCTTCAAACTTTGAATTAAATGAATGGAAATATCTTCAAAATTGTTGAATCAAATAATTCCAAATAATTTCAATCATCGAATAAAATAATTTAATTTAACTTTAATTATCTAATTAAATATTTTAAATCAGCTTCAAATAGTTAATAAAATAATTGAAAATATCTTCAATTATGGAATCAAATAATTGAAGTTACATTGAAATAGTTAATAAAATAATTGAAAATATTTGAATCAAATAATTGAAATTAGCTTTAAATAGTTAATAAACAATTGAAAATATCTTCAATTATTGAATCAAATAATTAAAATTAACTTCAATTATCTAATTAAATAATTGAAGTTAACTTCAATTATCTAACTAAATAATTGAAATTACATTGAAATAGTTAATAAAATAATTGAAAATATTTAAATCAATTAATTGAAAATATTTGAATCAATTAATTGAAATTAGCTTTAAATAGTTAATAAACAATTGAAAATATCTTCAATTATTGAATCAAATAATTGAAGTTAGCTTCAAAAAGTTAATAAACAATTGAAAATATTTTCAATTATTGAATCAAATAATTGAAATTAACTTCAATTATCTAATTGAATAATTGAAATTAACTTCAATTATCTAACTAAATAATTGAAATTACATTGAAATAGTTAATAAAATAATTGCAAATATCTTTAATTATTGAATCAAATAATTGAAGTAAGATTGAAATAGTTAATAAAATAATTGAAAATATCTTCAATTATGGAATCAAATAATTGAAGTTACATTGAAATAGTTAATAAAATAATTGAAAATATTTGAATCAAATAATTGAAATTAGCTTTAAATAGTTAATAAACAATTGAAAATATCTTCAATTATTAAATCAAATAATTGAAATTAGCTTTAAATAGTTAATAAACAATTGAAAATATCTTCAATGATTTATTCAAATAATTGAAGTTAACTTCAAAAAGTTAATAAACAATTTAAAATATATTTAATTATTGAATCAAATAATTGAAATTAACTTTAATTATCTAATAAAACAATTGAAAATATATTCAATTATTGAATTTTTAAATACTGAATCAAATAATTGAAAACATTTTCCATTCCAATTTGAAAAAAAAAATCCTACTCGAATTTCAATGAAAAAAAATCTGAAAAAATGTATTTAAAAAAGGAAAATTCGTACTCTCCGAGTCTCTGTGAATTAGCAAAATATATTCTTACGCTTTGTATATTTTATAAAAAAATTATTGCACTCGAGACAAAGTTGTGTCATATATATATAAAGTGTCGTAAAAAAAAAAAAAAATGATCGTAGAATATAGAGTATGTGTATTGTGTGTGGCGCACGGCATCGCGACACGACGCAATCTAATTAGTTGTATGGCTCGTTGCGTTGTCCGCGATGCTAAAGAACATATAGTGTATTATGATAGTGGGGCGTCTCTCTCTTTCTCTCTCTCTTTTTTTTCTCTTTCTCTGACGCAAAAGAGAACCGCGGCGAGCATGTCGCGGTTTAAAGTGGAGGGGCACAAACTCCCCCACCTGCGTTGTAGTATTGCCCCCACTTTGTTACATCCACCCACCTATGTACCATCGACACACACACACACACATATACACCCATAAATAGACACACAGACAGAAAATACAAAAACACACTATCAGAGAAAGGCAGTGCACATGAAACCGCACATATACACAGAGATTTTGAAGGAGTAGCGGCGTTCAAACACACAGCCTTTTTCCCTTCATCAAACCAGCCCGAGTCAGACGACATTGGGGCCAAGACGAAGTCGGCAGCACAATTTCAGTTTTCAGTTCCAAGCGCGACATTGTACCGAGCGGTTGTGTTTTTAGTTTGCTCTTTCTCTCTCTATCACGAGGCAGCGCCAAGTTTAATATATATATATATACTGTGTTATAACATATTATCGGTACAATAAAGTCGTGACTCTTTGCAGCATCATCTTTTCTTTTAAGTGGATATTAAAACTCTGTTTTTCTCATTTTTTTTTTTGGTTTTCATTTCTGGAATATGAGATTTTTCTCATTACAAAAAGGACCAGGGTCAAGTGCAAAACATTGAACCCAACAGAGGAAGTGTCTTACATTGAGAAAAAAAAAAACTGTGATTTTGGATTTCAATAATTTTAATTGCTCAAGACATTGTTTCTTTGAGCGAAAAGTGAATTTTTTGATGAGAACTTGTTTTTCTTTACAATTTTTGGTTTTTTTGGGAACTATTATAATTTTGCAAAAGTGGATCCCAGTTCTTTTGTGAGGTCGTACTTAAAGGAACCTTTCAAAATTGGTGAGTTCTAGATTCATGTTTTCCTCTCCTTTTTTTTTTATTTTATTTGATTTTTGTGATTTTGCGCGAGTTTTCAAATATGCCGGCTAAAAACACGTGCGACTTCGGAACAAGTACAAACTTCCTTTTTCTTTTGAATAGAAACAATTTTTTACTTCGATCCTTTTTTTTGAAATTATATTTTATGAACTAAAATTTCTCAATCTTTTTAAATTTTCTGTTTTACAAATTTTTTTCTATTTTCATTAAAAATTTTTTTAAATTCAACATTTTTCTATTTTTAAAATGAGAAAAATTTATTTTTCATCAAAGAATAAAAATTTTATTTTTCAAATACTTTTTAATTCTAACTTTCAAAGTTAAAAAAATTTGATAAAAAATTAATTTCAAAAATTATTTTTTAATTGATTTATTGGCAAAAAAAAATTACCGGCATTCTAATTTAAAATACATTTTTTTAGCAAACGATTAATTCTCGGTATCGTGGAAAAAAATTACTATTATGTCAAAAAAGAAATGCCGAATATGCAATTAGTCCCTCTATATTCCCGGTAATGCGAAAAGTTTATAAAAACTTTTTTTTTTTTGTTGGTTCATATACAAATTTTCGAGAATTCTTATATATATTATATATATACAATAAAACTGATTTGGCAATTTGTTAATTTGATTTTATGGAAAAGAAAAATAAATTTTTTTCCACGAATATTATTAAAATTTATGATTTTTATTTTTAATTTTTGTTTTTGAACATTTTATCACGTTTCAATTCTATATTTTCTTTTACTCTTTTCACAAACTTAAATTATTGTTATTAATTTAATCTTATCAAAAATCGAGTTTAATTCTCTTCCAACTTATCAAGTAACATTATAATTAAACAACATAATTTTCTTTAATAGCTATATATCATTGAACTAAGTAATTTAATAAACAATATGATTGCACAAAAATAATAATAATTTAAAAAAAAAAAAAACTCATTCTCGGAACAATAATATAAAAAAAATTAATCAAAACAGAAATGATAATTTAAATTTTTCCACATGAATTAATTAATTATAACTACAAAATGTAATTAATAATAATTTAGTTAATTATCAATTTAATATCTCTAATTAATATCAATAAATAATAATAATTTTTAATTAATTATTAATTTTTACTGTACCAACTTTTTTATAAATCAGAAAATTTCTCGTAATTTCGCTTTTAGATAATAAATGAAAATTAATGGAGTTAATTGAAGAAACGCGATAAGTCGATGAAAATATTTTCGATAAACAAAATTCGATTACGTATTTTTCAAATTATTGTTTTATTAGTCACTATGTGTTTCTTTAAAAAAAACAACAAAATCAATTTGTTGTACGTAAACAATATCGTTAAACAATAGAAAATGTTAAAAACAAAACAAGAATGCCGGTAGATCTATATAGATTCTTGTATATACATATATATATATATATAGAATGACGCAAGAATCTCTCTGGAAAACGTATACCTATTCTTGACGCAATCGAGTTAATCATACTTAGCCAACACTTGTATACAAAGTGATTGGGGCATGTTGTGTATTTTTTTTTTCTTCTAATAATAAAGTTCACGAAGAAAACCTATCGAGATTTAAACTTCGAGGTGCATATATTTATAATTATGTCAAAACTTATGCAAAGTGCACTGTCAATCCCATTGTAGGTGTTGCTTTACATATTACACTTTTAGTATCGCTTTTGTAATATTGTATAATATCATAAATACAATCCGACCTTTTTGAATTCTATTTTTCTTTATACTTTTAATTATAATACCTAACAAATCTAATACAATGAAACCTCAATAAGTTAAAAGGATTTAAAAAAGTTTCGTTAAAAAAAAAAAAATATTTTTCTTGCTCTATTTAAAGTAAAAAATTGTACTCACTCATTTGATAAATTGCGAATCACAAAAACGTTCAGAGGTATAGATAGTGGCAGCGTGGCGTAAGGCACAATCGATGAATGCGTCACGAGTTCGAATCCCACCTTCGGTAGATGATAATTTTTCTGCAATACAGAAATAAAATACAATTAATAAAAAATTAAATTTTAACATGAAAATATTTACAAAAAAAAGATGTTTAAAACGGAAGAGGAAATAGATTAATTCGCGCGGGGAGGGAAGGGATAAGATTAGTTTGAGTAGAAATATATATTATAAAACGAGAGAGAATAAACGAGATAAAAAGAGAGAGAGAGAGAGAAGGTTACTGGCACTTGGAGAAGAGAAGGCATCTTGCGACAGACCCTATGTGTTATAGAATAATGATTGCGTCACCCGAGGACGCGAAAAACGACATATCAATCGAAAGACAAAATTTAAGGCATGGTCAGCATTTTTTTTTTTTCATATTAGAATTATAAACTCCTTTTTTCACACTAAAATGAATTTATATTTAAAATTCCCAGGAAATTTTATTTTATATTTATACAAAAAAAAAAAATAGTGGGGGAAATTTAAAAATTTTTCCTAGAAAGAGTTTATAGGAATTCAGGTCTTGATGATCTTATGTAACACGCACTGGAAATTAATCTTCATCAAGATAAGATTACATTGCCATTTATGAATGACTGTTACAGACTCAACAATGTCTTAGAGATATGTTACATGATTTCTAAAATAATAAATTAATTTTTCAGCTGGAATTTCCTTGATCTAAAATAACAGGAATCAATTATGTTTTATTTGTGTCTTCTATCATTTTTTTTGTCTTCTTTCTCTTCTATTCGTTTCTTTCCTCTTCGATTGTTTCGATTTAAATTTATCCATTATTTCTTCTTGACTTTTTTGTTCTCTTAACGAAAGAAATTAAAAATCCTCTTGTGATATTTAACTATATCCTACAATTGAATGGAAAGGCAACTTCTTTTCTTTTATCCCCCCCTCTCTCTCTCTCTTTCTTCTTTATAGGTTAAAATAAATGCCCCCCCCCCCCTCTTTTGATATACTCTTTCCTCCCACACTTCTTCCCCGCTAGACTATCTATCGTCGCTTATAAAAGTGGGCCACGGTCTAATTTGCAGAACTCTTTCAACCTCGCAAAGTAAAAACGATATATATATGTGTGTGTGTATTAAATAAAATCAGTAAATTCAAAACGAAGGGCACGACGGACTTATACTTATGTCATTTGCACTTGAATATATTGTCCTTAAAAAAAAAATTAAGTCAGGATTTTTATCAAAATAAAAAAAAATTACAAAAAAAAAAATTGAGAAATAATTTACGAATATTAAATTGTTATATACAGAATGTTTCAAGATTTTCTTAATTAAATTCCTGTCTAATGGAACAATTTACTTTTGTTAACAAATCAGAATAATGTCATTTACACGCGCTTTCTCAAGATGAACTTCTTTCAAATGAAATTAATCCAAGATTATATTATAAATTTCAAACACTTATTTTTCAAGTTTAAAAATATTAATTTACACAATTTCTTTTTCAATTATATTATTTATTATTTATTAATTAAGCTTCAGTCTTTCGGACCAGAAGTGGACTTTGTTTAATACAAAATTAAAAAATTATAAAATAATAAATAAAAAATAATTATATATTATTTGAAATATCAAAATTTAATTTTCATTTTCGGCGTAATGTTTCATTTTGGGGGGGAGATAATTATTATTATATGATCCAAATGCAATTTTTTGGTGTTAATGATACATGACACATTGTTGCACATATACACGTGCACTATCTATGCGTGCATAGAGTCTGATATGAACGACACTTCTCATATTATCTCTCGCGTGGCATATCAATTGCGTCATTTTATATTATATATATATATATATAATTTCTTTTCCTATTGGAAAATATTTTCGATTCACAAGACAAAGGAATTGATTTTTTTCAATTTTTTTTTTTTTTGTAATTAATTTTTTACTCTTAATTCTCAATTTTTGGGAATTTGGTTTATTTTGTTTTATTATTTGTTTTGCTTTTTTTTTATTTTGAGTCGATTTTAAATGTTCTGTGATCGATGCATCATGTATATATATATATAAAATGTATAATAAGCTAAAATCAACATTGTGGCTACTTTATGGAATTTCGTATACAGTTACAGAGTCGTAAACACCGTTACATAACGTAATACTCATCTAAGTGGAACAAAACAAACATGTAACGCATGCATCGCGTTCAAGTGTTCCTCTCTTTCTTCTTATCTCTCAGTAGTCACCGTTAACTGTCCTATTACGTATTTTATATATATAAAACCAGTATCAGTAACACTTTGTTCAACATAACGCACTTGAAACTTTATGAAGCCCCCGAGCAAAGGGTATACACATATATATATACTCGAATATCTTGAATATCAGGATCTTGATACATACAGCATCCCGATAACGGAATACTAGCCTCTCTCTCTCACAATAGAAAATTGTCGATCCAATTTCAAGTACCGTTCTAGTTGCTGTTATCAATAAAATTCATTATTATTACCCCATTGTTCATTATTGAATTTTTATTCTCCTCTTAATATATATATATTCGATGCAAATGCATTATATTATTAAAACATAAATAAAACGGTTCTTATGTATAAAAATTACATATATCTTAATTATCGATATCTTAAAGAAAAAATTATTTATAATCGATTCTCACGTTGTCTAAAGAACCTATTTTCTAAAAGTAAATTATAATTTTAAAAATATACTGTTTTTATTTATTTATAATTGGATTTTAAAAGGACCTTAATTTGTTTATTTATTTATAATCAATTTTTCCAAACGAAAAATTTCTTTGAATTTTATAAATTCGCAATTAAACCAGTTAGATTTGGTATTTATAAGATTTGCAAGTCAGATAACGAGTTTCTTCTAATGTGACTTCTTTATTTATTTCTTTCTTTTTTTTTCGCGCACAGGGCAATTGAGACACGTGTGAGTTTGGCACGTGCTTGCAAAGTTTACACTCACATAAATAAGAAGTTTTTTTTTTTTTTCTTTTTTTTTTTAAATACACACACACACAAAGAAGCTAGTTTCTATTATCAGTAATCGACAAAGTTGGCGAAACTATTACAAGTTTTTGAGATTCATCGTCAAAATAACATGGACACGTGCGCGCAGACAAGTTAGCCGGACTCGATTTACGATTGCGGTCACCGTTCACGTAATATATAATATAGAAATAAAGAATTGATATATACCGTTATCGTATTGCTAATGATAAAAATTTATAATTATGTAATTAGACCATGTTTTTTTGGTGTGAAAATGAAAAAAAAAATTTCCCTCTATTAAATTATCGTTATATATATATATATAATTTATTCATTATCATTTACTTGTGGGGGGGAATATTTTTCTCAATAATAAGAAAAAGAAAATCAAAATCTGTTTTCTCTAATAATTAATAATTAATAATAAAAACAGTCACAAAACATGTTTTATTCTCTTAAAGAATATTCCTATAGAATTATTATTATTATTATTATTATTTTTATTATTATTATTGTTATTATTTTTATTATTGTTATAATTGTTATTATTTTTATTATTGTTATAATTATTATGATTTTTATTATTATTCCCAAAGATTTAATCTTTAAAAAAAATAAAGTGTGTAAAATAATTTAAATTGTCAAAAAAAATAATTTTCAAAATTTGAAATGAAAACAAAAAAATATTTTGCAATTATTGGGAGGGGGAAATGGAGCGACGCAAAAAACCTGTCTTAGCAGCAACTGCCACGTGCATCGTTGCGACATTGTGCAATGATAGGTTTAATCATGTGCACACGAATAATATATAAAGTACCATTTTTGCTACTTTGTTAAACAGACATAAAACAATTATTTGAAAATTGCCATTATAATTTAAAAATTCAATTTATAAAAATTGTCAACAAAAAAAAAAGAAATTTATCTCAAAAAGACTAAAACACATTTTTTATAATAATATATAAACGTACCGATTTCTTTGTCAATAATTTGCATATACATATTATACATATATACGTTCACGTGTCATTGAAACTGAAACGTTTATTACAACACGCAATTGCATTATTAATACTATATATGTATTATTATTATTATTATTATTATTATTATTATTATTATTATTATTATTATTATTATTATTATTTATTTTATTCCATAAAATTAATATTAATAATAAAATTAAATTTTCGACAAATTAGAGAAATTCAATAATTATTATAATCGGAAGAATTTTTTATATAAGTAAAATATATAGGGAAATGTCGATAGAAGAAGGAAGTTATAGCGAGCGTAATTAATATCGCTTTTGTTTAATATAATAAAAACTTGAGAGAATTGTCACGTGGCCGATAATCACGACAAGTCTCTCTCTCTCTCTCTCTTTCTCTCTCTTTCTGCCTGCGTCATTTGCCATATACGATTTGTCCTTTTGACGTCCAATGCACGACGTAACTCAAGCCCATCGATCGATTACCCCTCCGAGTTATTGTAATAAACGATATATCTATTGGAATTTCTTGGAAATAAATAAAAAATTTCTTTATATAATTAAAATTATTTTAATTTTCATTATTTTCTCAAAAATTATTTGATATAAATTTTGTAATCTTATTTTAAGGAAAAAAATCATTTTTTCTATAAAAAGTTTTTCTCTCGCAAAATATGATTTTCTCTTTTTAAAATGATGGGGAAAAAAAAGAGTTTAAAAAAAAAGTATTTTCCTTTATAAAGGGCTTTTTTAAAACCGTTTTTTTTTCATTTTTAAAAATAGCGGAAATTTATAATAATATTGGAAAAAAAGACACAAAAATTTCAAATTAATATTACATCTTGTTTTCCAATGAATTTAAAATATATATACAATAAAGTGATATAGAAGCTCGAGCTTTCGAATTGCACAATATTACGCAAATTAGTTTTTTTCCAATTAATGTTTATTATATTTTTGCGAATTTGCAATTTCTTTTTCGAATTAGAGTATTAATAGCGTTTCGTATAAATTTTTGCTCTCAAATTTTTTTTTTTTTTGTCAATGACATTATTTCAATTACTATAAGCTTTATTTAAATACGTTTCCTTGGACGGTTTTTGCAATATTGTATATATATATTTGCACATTCGCATAATTACACAATATTGCGTATATTTGAAAGGTTCGTTTAGAATTTTCATATATATATATATATATACATATAGAAAGTAACTATTGTAATGACCTCCATATCGATTAGCACACTTCCCTCTTTAATTTTTCATATTCTTTTTAATTTTCTTCTTTTTCTTCAACATTAAAAAAAAAATTAGAATTTTTGCATAATAGTAAAAAAAATTATGCCAATTTTTTAAATTTAATAAAGAAAATGAAAAATTAATAATTTTTAAAAAAGAAATATAATGAAATTTTTCGTTTTTATAGCAAAATATAGTCATACGCGGATGTAAAGAAGTAATTTCATGTCTACCCTTTTTCGTGCAGGTATTCACCATATAGTGACTCGTAAGCGGTAATAAACTCACGGGAATGTTTAACTGCTAAGTGGTATAGTGACTCATAAGAAAACATATAGTGATCTTGCTCACTGTTAATTCTATTCTAAGAACCTCGTCGTCGGTCGGTCACCCTTAGGAGAAACTCCTATATACTAAATGAATCTAAAAATATCCCTTCGATTTATATTGATCCCCCCTCACCGTCATTTTTTTCCTATTATAAAATCATAAGGTTTCAATATGAATTTCTAATTTAATTAAACAAAAAAAAAAAAAAAATTATTTTCTATCATAAAAAAAATTTGTTAAAATATAATTCATAAAAAAATATATTTTAATTAGGAATTAGACAATTTAAAAGAAAAATTATTTTTTTTGCGATAAATTAATTGCAAATAAAATTGACGAATTTTTGACGGTCTAGTGAGCGCAATGACGATCTCTCTATCTCTGAAAAGGGTTATTATATTCCTCAGTCGCTTTCTTTCCAACCCTTTCACTTTCTTCAGCCACGAGAAAATTGTCTGTCTAATGAGCGTAATGCAGTTTAAATATAGAAACTCTACAAATGCTAGTCAAGTCTTTTAAAGAAGCTTCATTTTCTGCTCCGGTAAGCAAATGATTACGTTATCTTTTACAGGATTTTATTTAAAAAGAAAAGAAAACAGTACAAACTTCTTAATATGTATACTTCGCGAAAAAAAGATCCTCTACACATTTTTTTTTTACCAAAAAAATTTTATTAAGAAAAAATAATTATTCCAATCTCAAAAAAATATTACAGAAAAAAAATCATTTACAGGGAATTCGTAAAAAAAAAAATGAATCAATGCGCCACGTGGAAATAAGTATATATATAATATTAAAATAGAAATATTACGAAACAAACGTGTCAAAATTTTGTAAACAACCACGCAAAATCGTCATTATTTTCAGTATAATAATCAAAGAAAATTTAATTGCGTCAACGAAATGGCGCGAATTACGTGAAAGAACACGTATTTTGGATTGTATCCATAAATTTGAATCGATTGGGTAAATTCCAAAAATTTTGTTGAAATAAAATATTTCCCCGAAAAAAATTATTGAGATTAATAGAAAAAAAAAAAAAAAATTAGTGACCTACATCAACTATTAATGTGACTTTATTTTCCAGAAGTTACTAATTGCTTAAAAAACAAACTTACTCATCAACAAGTGAATCAGAATTTAAATGACGTTTGATATTTTTTTTTTCTCTCTAAAATAATAGAATCATAAAAACGTGTCATCCACGTAATCAGAATGTAAAAAAAAATAGAAATAATATAAAAATATTAAAAATAAATAGTAAATTAAATAATTATTATTAATAAAAAAAAAAAATATATAAAAAAAATTTAGAAAAAAAATTAATTTGGAGGACAAAGTGACACGTTTGATTCACATTTTCCCGAAGCACGTGAGAAATCCGCGAGTTTTACGCACGTCAACGTATTTATGAAGAGGCAATTGAGAGGCTTTTGCATGCCGCCTGACATTCACTCTTCAAAGCACGTGGCCTGCTCTTGGAAGCGCAAGCGCACGTGGAAAATTATATAACCTGCCTCGATGTTTCTCGATAAAATAATATATAGATATCAATTTACTAAATTCTAAAAATCTAGCTTCTCGGCGAGAAAAAAAGAAAATTCATTGGAATAAATCACATTTATTCAATTTTTTTAAAATAAATCAATTATATTTGACGAATTCAAATATATTTTCAAAATGAAACAACTATGGTAACCATAAATAAATTTGTAAATCACAATATTCATTATAGAGAAGAAAATTGATTTTGTTTTGTATATATGTATACAATTATATATATATATATGAAGTTCACGCGCATTTATCTTTTACTAGCAATCGCGAATTACGTAATATTTACTATTTTCCTCTTCTAGTCAATGATTAAACGTCTATTTGAACGTGTTAGAAATTATCAATACGAGCCATCGATTATCTAGACGGAAAAGTGTTGAGACAAATCATATTATGTGTGCGATAAGAAATAATATTCAAACGTGACAAATATGAATTTCATAAGAAAAAAAAATTTCTTGCATCAAATTAAAGATTTTCACTCGATTCGCTTATATAAATTCTTAAAACTCTTTTCTTTGACAAAAAAAAAAGAGGAAAGATCATTGGAATTTTCATGAGTCATTTCTCGGATTTTGATCGCGTGTGTCAAAGATGTACACGAGACTCCATAAAACGTGCAATAGTTTCTTAGTAATTTAGCTCGATCACGTTTTTATGTCGCATCATTTTTTTTATCTTCTATTTTAATATTTGTATAGGAATAAAAAAAAGCAGAATACCTTTTTCAACGAAGGAGAAAAAAAAAAACTTCTTCTAATCAAATCACAAGATTCGAAACAAATGACGCAACACTTCGTCAGAGAACTTTGATCCTTTGTTATCTAAAATCCTGAACGAAATCGTATAAACAATCTCTTATTGAGCAATAAAAATGAATCAGGAAAATTAGAGAGAGATTTTCCTCCAGGAAATGATTTCAAGTTCCTTGTTCCTTGATTTTTTTTTTTTTTTTTTTTTTTTTGCAAAAAATGAACGTCCTTCATTATATATCCGAAGGCTAAACAGTTGAATGATCTTGCGATATTCCATTTAAGGTCGTATTGCAAATTCAAAGAACGAAATAAATCGTCCTTCCCTGAGTATATCGACTTTGTGATTAATGATCATCAGAGTTTCTCTCTAATTGAGAATTGTCGCATTTTTGAAATTGCTTATCTCGCAGGATTGTCATCGCATTTCTAAACGCTCGCCAATATATCTTGTATGTGACTATTTTATAAATACTCAACGATTTTTTTTTTTTTTTGAAAAACTTCCGTTCATTCTTGTAAATCTCAGTCATTTTGAGATAACAGATTAAAAGAAAAAAAAACAAGCGACGCTATCAGCTCTAAAAATAATAATTTGTTACGCAGTCACTAGAATCGATATCAATTATAAGAGTTATCTTCATAATAACTTTTTTTTATACACATTTTTTGTCAATTTATTTTTGATTTTAAAAAATTGCATTGATATAAGTGAAAAAAAGAGGGAGAAAAAATTTTTATATACATACATAACCTAAAATAGGCTTGATTTAAACTAACCTTTTTTATCCATTCTGCATTTGATTCCAACATCGTCACAGCCTCTCTTTTACATTGATTTGCTGATTCCACTTCTTTTCTTCTACTTTTGACTCTTAGGATTTACTTCATTTCTGTACAACACAAAATTGATACCTTTATTGGCGGGATGAAGGTCTAAACTTTTTTTTTTTACTGATTGCGTTTCATGTTTACTATTTAACATTCAATTATATCGAAATATTACTTATTTCACACTTTAATATCAATATTATGAGCCTTTTTCACAATATTATTATTCATTTCGTTAATTATTTGATTAAAAAACGTTTTCTCACAACTACCCTGCAAACGAGTCAGAACCCATGGTTCGTGTGAAGTTGGCAGTTAATTGAAACAATATCTAACATCGATATATCGAATAATCATAATCGATTTTATTTAAAAATTTTAAAAATTATTAAATAATAAAAGTAACACTAATTATAAATTAATTATGAAATAAAAATAAAAATTATCTTAGCATTTAATTTTTTTTTCCATATTAAAAATATTGGTTAAATTAAAAAAGTTTTTTTCGTCTAATTGTAAAACTTTTTTTTGTAGGTTATGTTCTTTTCGAAAATGACAATGTTTACTAACTAACCTTTTTTATCCATTCTGCATGGTCCCAGCCTATCTTTTACATTGATTTGCTGATTCCACTTCTTTTCTTCTACTTTTGACTCTTAGGATTTACTTCATTATTTCTGTACAACACAAAATTGATACCTTTATTAGCGGGATGGAGGTCTCAACTTTTTTTACCGATTACATTTAATGTTTACTATGTAACATTCAATTATATCGAAATATTACTTATTTAACACTTTATTTTCAATATTATGGGCCTTTTTCACAATATTATTATTCATTTCGTTAATTATTTGATTAAAAAACATTTTTACTTACAACTGCCCTCCAATCGAGTCAGAACCCATGGTTCGTGTGAAGTTGGCAGTCAATTGAAACAATATCTAACACATCGATATATCGAATAATCATAATCGATTTTATTTAAATTTTTTAAAAATTATTAAATAATAAAATTAACACTAATTATAAATTAATTATAAAATGGAAATAAAAATTATCTTAGCAATTAATTTTTCTTTCCATATTAAAAATATTTGTTAAATTAAAAAACTTTTTTCTCGTCCAATTGTAAAACTTTTTTTTTGTAGGTTATGTTCGTTCCGAAAATGACAATGTTTATACTGTTTACATTTAAGATGGAATCATTTTTAGTTATAAATTGTCACAAAATAAAGCAAAATTTATGAAAAAGATTATTAATATTGAATATAAAATACATTACCAGTAAAGGAGTGATTAATTCTTTTCCATGTACAAGTTAAATGATTGCCAATGATGTGATTTATGTCTAAAAATCAACAATATTGGATTAGGAATTAAAATTAATTAATTAAAAAATAAATAAAAGAAACTAGAATATAAGAAAAAAATTTTTCAAAATTACCATAAATATTAACGAAATGTATCCTTTTTTTTCCAGATGTTCTAAGAAGGCAAATTATGGTGGCAGAGTTTGTCACCCGCCAGAGTGGATCGCCCATCAATGGTGAGATTGCGTATTTAAACAGCAACATGCCGACTACTCATTCAATAACACATTCATCAGCTCATGGTGGACATGGCCATGATGCTCATGGACCTCTACCACCAATGACTCATCCCCATCATGGGTCATCGCCATCCCTTCAGCAACAGCAACAGCAGCAACAACAACAACAACAACAGCAACAGTCACTTCATCCCCAACAATCAATGCAACATCTTCAATCACAACATCAACATCAACATCATGATAATCAAAATCCCCATTCTGATAATTACAATTCAAATTTTGATTTAAGAAAAGAACTCTTTTCCCAACGTAAACAAAGGGAATTTATTCCCGATAATAAAAAAGACGACAGCTATTGGGATCGACGCAGACGTAATAATGAAGCTGCAAAACGATCACGTGAAAAGAGACGTTTCAATGATATGGTCCTCGAACAACGTGTCATGGAATTGAGCAAGGAAAATCACATTCTCAAGGCACAATTGGAAGCGATTCGTGATAAATTTGGAATTTGTGGCGAGAACGTTATCAGTACCGAACACGTATTAGCCGCATTACCATCAGAACCACCACTTCTCAAACGAAAATTATCCACATCAACAACATTATTATACACAAGATCACCAAGTCCTGTTCACACATCAGTGATTCATCAGCCAGTCAGTGGTTCCAGGTCACCGAGGTCACCAGCTCAACTCTACGTTCCCGAAGCAACAGCCTATCCCGAGACTGAAAGCTTTCAATATCCCTACACAACACATCCAGCCGATCATTTTGATACATCAAGTGCATTGAATTTATCACGTGGCCGACGTGCTCAATCACCATTTGAATTATCATCAGGCAGCGGCGATGAAAGTTCATCATTGACAGTACCACAAAGTATGGTTGGTACAAATAATTGTCTACCCCATAAATTGAGGCATAAATCACGAATTGGCGACAAAGATGCTGCGAGTGCATTACTTGCATTACAAGGCATTAAACAAGAACCTGGACCACGTGCATCGCCACCATGGGACAATGAGGGTTCAAGTGACGAGAGGGATTCGGGCATTTCACTTGGTGCCGAATGGACACCAAATGTCCCAACAGTACCGGAAAATGAGCGCGAAGTAAAAAGCAGGCTAGATCGTTTAGCGTCCGAGGTGGCATCATTACAATCAATTCTACGCCTTGGCAAAAGTGGTGAAAATCATGTTGTACCACAAGTGGTGGTAAGCGGCGGACAAACGACAGGCGTTCAAGTCACGGGTCCTTGAACTCAACCGATGATTCACAAACACTGTGAATCAGAAAATGGAAAAAAAAATAGTGTGCGTCACTTCGCAAGAGCTTATTATCCAAAGATGCACCTCTAATAAAGAGGCACATTACCTCTATTTTTGAACGTGATGCTCAGGATCTCGTATTCCTTCGGGCAGGGTAGACTGAATTTTTCCCGATCGAGTCTTCTTATTAAAAAAAACTGTGATTCCGAATGCTTTCTCGATATCGAGATTTATGATGAAAAAAAAAGCATAATAAAAAAAAATGGAGTATTAGCTATCCCGCCTTCGAGGGATCCAGAGACTTTTTCGGGAGTTTTTTTTTAACGGTTCTAATCCGTTTCGTAAAGTAGCTTTTAAGACCATGTGACTTTTAAACGTCTAAGTAAATTATATATTGTAATTTTTAAGGATATCGTCAATTTTTTTTTTATGTTAATTTTTTCGCTATCACCATCGAATGCGTGAAATCGCTTTATTGTCCAAAAGTTCTGTGTATACTATAGAACGTTTTCAGAGTTGTAGTTGTTTTGAAAACTTCTACGACTGTGATTACGAAGCTGTTTTAGATTAGAGCGCGTTAGCTGGTCTAAGTTATTATCGACTAATCATTTAAGACTGCGTCGCGCAACCGGCTATCTCATCACCGCCAGGTACCCTTAAACATTTTTTAATTCGACTCGAAAATCAAGAACAAAAAAAAAAAATCACTTGATCGAGTCGAATTTTCATTTTGAGTATCATATTTTTAATACAATTAAAATATGATAATCGTCTCCTTTCATTTCTTTTTTCTTCTTCTCTTCGCTTCTAAAAAATCGGATAGTATTTTTCATAAAAAAAATTTGATCAAATTAATATTTCTTTTTATTGATTTAAAAAATAAATAAATTTCAATCCGATTTTTAATTTTTCTATATATATATATTTCTCTTTTTTTGATTTAATAAATGTTGAAATTAAAAATTTCTGTTTCACGATTTGATTTTCAATCGGCAATCGAGATCGTTTAATTATAAAATTCATCTAAATTCAATAAATTAATTTTCGCTTGGGAAATATTAATTTAAAAAAAATTATTTTTGAACAATTTCAAAATAAAAATCTCTCGATTTGAAGAAAAAAAAAATTACATCGTGAAAAAAATCAAATTTAAAAATTATTGTCGGAAGTATTAAGCAAAGTCTATTTAGGTGAATGTATTACATGTAGAGCACTCACACAAATGGTCTATGTATACACCCACGCATATTTATATACTATTCTCATATACATAAATATATATATTTTTTTCAAATTAATGTATTTTTCGATAATGTGAATATAATTGAAAGTGTAGGGCGCTAATGAAAAAAAAAAAAGTTGTAAAAAAAAGATATACTCTATTTTCAAACAAAGTGTTATAAAAATGCTTCCCTCTATAGAAATTTCATTTTATTTGTTATTTCAAAAAAAAAAAATTTCCGCTTGTTTTTAATTTTTCTACATTATATATGTACAAGAGAAAAATATATTTTTCCGTCATTAACAAGTCTCTTACAAATTTCAATCAGTTGAAAACTAAAAATGATTTTTAACTTTTTCATTTCTTAATTAATATAAAAAAATAAATTAATTAAATAAAAAAGGTAAAAAAAATTCCATTTATTTTAACAGTATTTTCTTTTCTTTTTTAATCGCTGATTGAAATTCGGAGCCTTAAACTTCCAACAATTCTGATGAATTTTAATTGAAATCCCATAATATGTATGTATTATATGTGATATGAAAAAATTTGTTTCGATTAAAAAAAAAACTGTACGATGTAATAATAAGTAATTGACGAAAAAAAAAACCACTAATAATAGAGCGTAACTCGAATTATTTATTAATTAATTGTATACGTATATAAGAAAGGAGTGTCTGTGTCGAATGATTAGGGATGATCATGATGACCAGCAAACACAAAATCATTGGTACTACTATTTACTTTATAAAATAGGACTTGCGATACAAATAAATAATACACATTGAAATTTAAAGCTCAGATAGAGAGAGAGAAACAACAAAGGGTGATTTTTGTCAGGTATCTTTAATTTAAATCAAGCGTTTAAAGAGATTCAAACTCGCCAAACGCTTGTTGATTTTTTTTTTTTTTTTTTTTTTTTGAAGATATAATAATTAAGATTTAGTAAGATAATCTTTTCATAAGTCAAGATCAGCCCTATCAAGCCCAACACAAGACTGTTTATTATTATCGATGTTACATGCGGAAGGATCTCGCATTTTCTCCTTCCTCGTTTGTTTTTATATGAATAAAATAAAGAAATAAATAAATATATATTATATATTATATATATATATATACATATAGTCCGTTCGATTTGTACAGACACACTTAAGTGTAATATTATCTGCGAGTCGAGAAATTCGACTAGCAGGATTGTAAAGTCATTTTGTATGTAAGAATCATTTTTTTTTTCTCTCAAAGAGTGTAAAAAATTTTTCAAAAACTTCCAATATTCAATGAAAATACATTGATTAAATTTACATATGTAAAAAAAATTAATTTGATTACATTTATAGGTAAAATAAAAAAAAAAAACAAAAAAAAAAGAAACAGATTTTTTTTCTTTGAAGATTTTTTTACTCTTTTTTTTCTCATTTCTCTACTTCCAATTTATTATTTTTTTCAAAGTGCTCGTGTAAAGAAAATTAACTATAAGAGACAATTTTAAATGTTAAATATATTTTATAACCGAAAAAAATTATATTCCACTTTAAAATGTCTATTTTATAGAAAAACTGTGGAATAAAACATCAAGTGCCTCGAGATCCTTGATAGTGAAAATATCGCATTTGTTACAAAAAAAAAATTGAAAAAAATCTTCACTTTTTGTTACAAAAAAAAAAAAAAATTTGTTATAAAAAAGATGTATCTAAACAGTGAGACAAGTTAGGTGTTTGAAAATAGTTCCTATTTCTATTCAATTACAGAAAAAAAGAAAATAAAAAAAATAAGATGTTTGCCGTGTCTGAATTTTCTCGATTCCAAATGTACATTCGATTTTCATACCCCCCCGCCCCCCTGGGGTTTAGATTTAAGAGATATATTCGCAGTGTGTATTGTTCATGTACGATATGGATATTGAAATAAATATTTTCAATGTTTTTCACAATAATTAAGAATTTTTTCTTTTTTAAAAAAAAAAACCTCATTCCTATAATTTTCTTTATTTTTTTACTTTCCAATATTAGAAATAAAATTTAAATAAAATAAAAATATTTTGAAACTGAGATAAATAAAAAAAAACCAATGAATTAGATAAAAAATACATTTCTACTAATTATTAAGGATAAAAAAGAAGTCATTTTTTTTTTATCGCAAGAAAAACAAAATATTACAATTATTATTATTTTCTTTAATACTCTGATATTTTATAACTGGAAATATAATTTAGTATCTAATTGAAACACTTGGAAAATTGATGAATGACTTAAATTAGAAGAAAAACTTAAATTATAAAGTTTATTTGTCGATTAATAGAAAATTTCTAACTAATATCTAATTGTCAAACTGGTATCAAGTAGAAAAAAAAATATTTACCGGATAAAAATTTTACGTCACTTCGTAAAATCTATTTAATAATGTAAATGAGAATAGAAAAATTTTAATCTTAAATAAATAAGATTTCCGCAAATAAAACAGTGTGATCACTGGGTTCAATTTAAGCAAATACGATCCACGTAATGCTTTTGTTTTCACTTGAAAAAAAGAAGTAAAAAATTAAATAAAAAAGTCTTTTCTCACAATGTCCTCTTGTAATATTCATCCAAATCCAAAAATCAATCACTTATTTTCGTTTCTTGCATTTAGTTCTGCCACGACGTCTTCGCGATGAATTTGGTCGAGTTTCGGTTTTTTTCGAAGATCTATAAAAATAATTTTATCAATTCAAATATCATTAAAAAAATGAAATAAAAACTGCTTTTTTAAATAAATAAAAATCGAACCTATGAACTCGATTGACCGATACAGATGTGTGTTTTTTCAAAGTGAGATGCTGTTGTACAAGCTCGGCAAGTTTTCCCTGTTGAGCTAACATCGAAAGAAATGTACAAATGAATTCATCATAATTATGAGTCCTCCTGCAGTCGTCAATCTAAAAAAATAAAAAAACCAAGTTAATTAATAAATTAATCAAAAATAATTCCAAATTACATTAAATAAAAAAAAATCTTGAGAAAAGAAAAAGTAAATACTTTGTATTTATTGCGTTTATCGTTTTCATCACGTAAACTAGTTTCGCAAATGGAAATTTCATGTTCAAGATTCTTAAGCAGTGCGAGAAGATCTTTTGGCGCAAATGTATGTGGCTCGAAAAGTTCTGGATATTTCGAGCACAGTTTGGGGTCAATTTTTTCCACTTTCTTTTCCTCGACAACAGTGTCCCCATTACTAGTTTTCACCCTAGCATGAGGTATTCTTACTTCTCCTGATAAACACACTTTCTTGTGTAAATGTCCACTGTCTGAGACTAATCTTTTTCCATTTATGTTTATATTACCTAATGAACGACCTGAAAAAAATTACAATAATTATTAATCAATAATGATAAAATAAATTAATTTTAAAGAAAAATTGTAAAATTATATTAGAAATATGAAAATTTAACTCACTTAAACCAGCTTCATTTTTTTCATCGCCAGCGACACGAATCACGACGAATTTCTTAAAATCTTTCGTTGAAGTTGGACTGCTTTGCCCGGAGTTCCAGCCCCAAGCTATATAAACCAAAAAAAATAAAAACAAAATTTTATTTAACTTTCTTTCTTGAGTTAAGTAAAAGCTTCACTGTCTAAATGATCTCCTTTCAAAAAAAAGGAGGCTAAAATATAACTGTATAAATGGATGTCAATAATGAACTATACTAAACAAGTGTAAATAGAAATGTGCGTATTGGTAAAAGAACTTGTGAAAAAGTACATATAAAGAAAATTAACGCGTAACTCGAATATATTTTCAGTTCAATACCGACTAGTATCGTGTTCGTAACAATGTTACGGAAAGCATTATTTTTCTATTTTCTATTTATTCACCTAAAGCTAATAATTTCAAAATGTTCCGAATTACGCAAATCTCATCCCACAAATTGTACTTTATTCTACAATTGTGTTAATTTACCGTCAGGTGAATACGTCTGGATACCATCTAAATGCTCCGAAGGTTTGGTACGAAAAAATACATTTATTTTTACTTTCGAAAATTTTTATGAAAAATAATAAGATAATAATAATAAATAATAATAATTATAAGAGGTCATAATTTTCCCAGATGTTCGAGTCATATTTAGGAATTTGCGTTCTTCCAAGCGAAACTTGGACATGTGACACTAATTTCAAAGAAAAACAAAATACCGGTGAATCAATAAAAAATTATTTGGACTTTAATTCCGATCATTTGGATCTCAGTGAAACGCTGGACTCATCTTATTCTCTGAATGATGAAACATTCGATAATAAAGACATTAATCCAGTGACAAATTTTTTAAATCAAAAATTTTCCCTCTTCGCAACAAACGAAGTTAATCAAAAAATAGAAAAAAATAATTCAATTGAAACAAATAATTTTCCAAAATTTGACAAAAAGATAACTGTTAATAATATTGTTTTGTTAAATTATTTCATCACAAATTATATAATTCGAAATAACGATGTAAATAAAAAGAATACAAAAGAAATCGAAAAAACAAGGAGAAATGAAACAAAATATAAAATTGCAAATACAAAAGAAGAAAAACAAAAAGTGACAATAATTGATAATTTAAATCAATCAGTGATTAATAAAAATATTACTGAGATGGAAAATATTTTTAAAAAAAATAATCAAAATAATTCACCATTGATTGAGATGAAAAATTTATGTAAAACAATAGGTAACATTGTTGATCCAAATTCAAGTTCTCATTATTATTTATGTTATTCAAATAATGGAAAAACAAGGGATCTTGCATCGGTTCGTATGATGTGTCCGAAAAATTTAATTTTCTGCGCCGAAAAGAAAATATGTACGAGACAAAGAATATGTCGAAAAATTTTGTCAAACAAAAAATTCAAATAAAAAATAATAATTACGATCTTTTTTTTCACCTTGAGTAGGAGAATTAAAAGCTGATCCAATTTCAGAAGATGTATCTGTACTCGAGGAACTGTGAGCAGGAGATGTTTGAATTTGAAGAGGGGTAGCATAATCTAAAGCACACATCACTACTTTCTCCATACCTCTGTGAAATAAAAATTCAATTACGAACAAATTTACATTTAATTTTTAAATACAATTTGTTATTTTAATAAAGTTCAAATTTAGAAATATAAATATCAAAAATTGAAATTATATACCCAGATTCAGTTTTCGTAGTAGTAACAATTGTCGTCTCCTCGTTATCAGTTCCAAAATTGTTACAATGCTCAACACTAATAGTTGGAATAGAATTGTTATCAATTTCACTTTTAGTAATAACAATTTCCCCTTCAAATTTCACTTTTTTCTCATGATTTTTTTCCGTTTTTTCCAATGATGCTTTCTCACTGCCTGGATGACTTAATTTCACAAGTTGTTGCAATGCCTCAAGTACAATTTGCCTATTTGTTTTGAGCATTGTTAATTTATGTGAAATTGCAAGTCTACGATCGGGAACAACTGCCATTAAATTAAATCTTATATCTTGTAATTGTTCACCAGTTGCCATTCCCAATCTATCGGTTATTACACGTCGAAATTGTTCCGTCCATTCTTCATCTTCCTTCCATGGACCATGATCCATTGGATATGGCTTTAAACCATCTAATTCAAATAATCTTCCATTTATCGGCACATAACTGACAAAATGAAAAGCTTCACCGGTAAATCGACCAGTCGATACACCTGTATTTTTATCTTGACGTCGTTTAGCTTGTGGCATTGCGTGTGAATTATGTGCACATGCCAATTCTGGTGTATTTCCAATTGCCCAGCCCTTATTCTCGGGACACATACCTGATGTGTGCATTTTCAATCGTGACAATGTCGTACCCAAATGAATACTCGGACAATTTAATAATACCGATAATAGAGCATGTGTTGCACAACTATTTGGAACTACCTAAATTTTAAAATAAAAACAATTTAGATTTAAACTTTATTTTCTATTTTAATACAAAATTTGATATTAAAATTACAAGAAAAGAAATTTTACAAGAAAACGATTTTACAATATATAATTAAAAAGACTTTTATAACCTAAAAATCAATTTCTTCTTACCTGTTGTGCAAAAAAAATATTATTAACAATATCCTCATCTTTAACAAAACTTTCATCTTGTTCGACAATTTTTCGACGTGATCGACGCTCTTCAATCCATCGAAAAAGAAAAATAAAACCATAAACAGGACCTTCTAATGATTTTTGAAGATCGTAAATTTCTTCCACTTGAACTCCCTTCACGCCAAAATCCTCCAAGAGAAGAGTAAAAAGTCCTGAAATAAATAGCATTTTTAAACAAAAAAATTGAATAATAAAAACACAATTATTATTTTTCTTTATATAACAAATTAATCAATATGTGAAGCTGTCAAAAAATTTTTTACCTGGATCACTTTCAAGTTCCAGCCATCCCTCTGTTAATCGATTAATATCGACCGGCATTGTGTAAATAGTTTCACTATTTTACGAATTCATGAAAACTTATTTAAAAAATCACTTTTAATTCTTCATTTCTTTTTTAATTTTTAAAACACTTTCTGTCATTTTTCATTGTCAACCCATAGCTGCCATATTGAATGAAAACAGTGGTCACGTGACCCAACAGCTGTTTAAATTGAGGCGGATTTACAACGCTGTCCATTTTCAACATCCAATCAAAACAGTTTGAAACACGTGAATTAGCCTTTAAAATAATTGTACACAAAAGAAAAAAGGTGTTATTATAATTTATATATATCTTTTAAACAAGTTTTATATAAAGAAATTTACACTAAACAATTAATCATTTAATTTAAACATTATTAAAATATCACTAAATTCATAAAAAATTAAATTTAGAAAATATTTTCTAAAGCAGTACAGTGAAATTTTAGTTCATAACCTCCAATTTCATGCAGATTTTTTGCATTAAAATTCGCATTATTTATTAGACATTTAATTAAATAAATTCTTCTTATTAAGTAAGTACTACGTTAAGAATGAATTTAAACATAAAAAGACTGATGAAATAATATCATTTAGTGTTTTTTTTTTTTTTATAATTATAATCATGAGTTACCTTCATAAAGACTATATAATTGATTGTGACTAGATGTATAGCAATATTTTGTCAAATAATTTTCTCTGCGGGGAAAATTCTTAATGTTATTTAGTTTTTAATGTTTATGTGAGAATATATACACACAATAATTTGCACCATGGTGCTGAGGACAATAATTTTGATGATCAGCCTTTTGCATTGTGGATTTACTTTGAAAAGTAAGTAATTATTGACAATTCGATTTTTTTATCATTTTTTTTTTTATGATTAATGCTCTAATAATCTGTTTGTTTTTATAGAATATGAAAGTCAAGGCTATTGTGCACCGTACAGTGGCAAAGTTTGCAAAAAATATCTTACAGGTATTGGTAAAGTATGGTTTAATGATACACGTGATAATCCCGGTGGATTGTTAAATGAACAAACAGCAATGAATCTATGGGAAGAATTAATAGTAAATTTAAACGAACCATGCCGTTCAGCAGCTGAGGTAAATATTTTTAATTTATTTTTTTTCCATGTAAATAATTATTGATTAATTTTACAATTTCAGAAAATGCTCTGTCTGTATGCATTTCCACAATGTCGTAATTCAATTGGTTTACCATTATGTTATGAAGATTGTATGGCCGTTCGTCATGAATTTTGTTATAACGAATGGGCCTTAATCGAGGACAATAAAGAGAGGGGGATTTTTATTAGATCTCGAGGTCATTTTTCACTGCCAAATTGTGAAAGTCTTCCAAAAATAAGTAACGATCGTGTTACATGCTCAAATGTTCATTTGACTGATATAAATGAAGATCTCATTACTTGTAAGTTGTAATTTTTTTAAAATCAAATTACAATTTTTATATTAAAAATTTTTTTTTGGATTTACATTTTTTAGATGACTGTTATGAAAATAATGGACGATTTTATATGGGGAAAATAAATAAAACAAAAGAGGGCCTTGAATGTCAACCATGGAGTTCACAGAAACCACATTCTCACGATCGACCTCCTAATGTATTTCCACAAATTGTTGATGGTGAAAATTATTGTCGAAATGTCGGTGGAAATGAACCGATGCCCTGGTGCTTTACCAATGATCCAAAAATTCGTTGGCAACATTGCAATATTCCCAAATGTGGTAAGTTTTTCATTATATTAATTTAATGAAAATTATTTTTAATGAATGTATATTAAAAAAAAGAAATTTCTATTTCCTTATAGATAATTCAACGGATGAAATTCTAAAAATTGGTCCCGATGATTTAATAATGGATACACTCTTCACTCCAACTGTGATTCTTACTCTTGCATTTCTTGGATTTTTAATGATTCTTGGAACGTCTCTTGCTTTATTGTTAAGTCACAAAATGCGAAAACGTCATCATGGTTATAATGCAACTGTAAATCAGGTAAAATTTGATTTTTCTAAATTCTAAAAATGAAATTACAAATATAATTTCAATTTTAGGACATAAATATCGATCTTGACAAATTGCCGAGCAACGATGCATATCATAAAACAGGAGTGATGCTAAATCCAAAATTAGAGAAACTTGAATTTCCAAGGAACGATATTATTTACATTAGAGACTTGGGACAAGGTGCATTTGGTCGTGTATTTCAAGCAAAAGCCCCGGGTCTTATTCCAGGCGATGAATTTACAAATGTCGCAGTAAAAATGCTTAAAGACGAGGCAACTACCGATCTTTTGGCAGACTTTGAACGTGAAGCGTGTTTACTTTCTGAATTTGATCATCCAAATATTGTGAAACTTCTTGGAATTTGTGCTATCGGTCGGCCAATGTGTCTTCTTTTTGAATATATGGGCCGTGGTGATTTGAATGAATTTTTACGCACCTGTTCACCAGGAAATTATATTGTTCGAAGTTTTGAAAACGATGGATCATTTACTGATTCACGTTTATCGCATATGGATTTAATTAATATTGCAAGACAAGTTGCATCGGGAATGGTTTATTTGTCGGATAGAAAATTTGTTCATCGTGATTTAGCAACGAGAAATTGTTTAATTAACGATCAAATGGTGGTGAAAATAGCTGACTTTGGCCTATCGCAAAAAATTTATTTACAAGATTATTACAAGGGCGATGAGCAGGATGCAATTCCAATTCGTTGGATGCCATTGGAAAGTATTCTTTATAATAAATATACAATTGAATCGGACGTTTGGGCATTTGCTGTTTGTCTTTGGGAAATTTTCAGTTTTGCACTTCAACCATATTATGGAATGTCACATGAAGAAGTTGTAAAATATATTAAAGATGGTAATGTACTCAAATGTCCAGATAATACACCGCCTGCAATTTATGAACTTATGAAATTATGCTGGAATAGACGACCATGTGAACGGCCTCAATTTCGAAAAATTTTCCTCACTTTGGAAGCAATTAAAGCTGATATGGAAACAGAAAATATTTCCGAAAATCTTCCTATACGAATTCATGTTTAAAATTAAAATTTAATTTTTAATGAATAATTTTATTAATTCTGGTCATTGATATACGAGGGAAAAAATGGATCGTAATTTTTTATTTTCGTTAAAAAATAAATTAAATTTATTTTTCATTTTAACTATTTATTTGTTTAAATTTATAAATGAATCCAAAAATTAAATTTTAATTTAAACACTAAATTATATTTTAAACTCAAAAATGAGACAAGAACTGATGAAAAAAAATGATAATATTTTTTACCCTAAAAGACTGCAAATGATCCGTCACAATTATCATTGTTTTTGGAAAATATTTTGATAAACAATCGTTTTTCAAGCACTGCCTATTTATAAACATTTTCAATGCTGGTGGCTGTAAATTTTATGCATTTTTCTTATTAATTTGTTTTTAATAAGTAATTTTTAACAATTTTTTTTTTTCTAAAGAAAGTTGGAAAATTTTTTTTTCTAACTTGACAAAAATAGACTGAAATGATATCTAATCGAGATCTCGGTGATGATTTTTTGAAAAAATGGGATTTCTGTTTTTTTTAGAGTCACCACATCATTATATCATGTAAAATTAATATCAAATGTAGATTTATAAAACCTATTTCTAAAATTGACAAATTGATAAACCTGTCAAATATAAACAGCTTTTATATTAATTTAAGCTTTACTCTTTAATTCGTACTTATTAATTATAATTTTTTTAGTTTGACAAAATGTTTTTTGATAATTAAATAAATTTTTTTTTATTTTCAAGAATTCTTATTTAATTATCAAAACACAAATAAAATGTTTAATTTTCTCCGAAGGCTCTAAACTTTATTAAAGCTAAAGTTATTGCATGTGTGTTCGCTGTCTTTCTGCTAAATGTATATTTAAATATGTTACATTTATGATATTTCATAATTGTTAGGTGTCAGCATCGTTGATATATATTATAATGCAAAATAATAGTATTATTAGAAGCAGATTGTTTCTTTAATTAAATGCAATAAACAACAAAAAAAAAAAATTGTAATTAGTTAAATAATCAATCTGTGTGTAACATTCAGATATATATCTATATTATTCTATTATATTATTAAGAACCTTGTTATGCAAGTACATATATAAAAAAAAACTTAAGATTACCTGAAACTCACAACAGTATTGTTAATCTGTAAAATCACGAATTTAGTCGAATCTCTATTTAAAAGAAAGAAAACAAAAAACTGGACCCTTAAACTATTTTTCCAAAAAGCTCTATTTTTCAAATACTTCTTTTTTTTATATTATAAAAAATCCAGTCAATAATTTTTTACCTAAATAGATTTGATTCTTAAAAGAAAAATAGTCTATATTTGTAAATAACTCTAACAATTTTTTTTTAAAAAGTCAAAAACTTCCATTTTTATGTTGGTACTATAAAATTACCATAAAGTTTATTGGTTAAACAATATATGAATTCTAAAAGAATCTTAATTAATTATTATTAATATTTTTATTATATTATTATTATTATTATTATTATTAAATTATTTATAATATATTACCTACTATTACATTTTGCATTTCAATAAAGTTATTTCAAATTGAAACAATTAAATTAACTATTATTAATTAGTTTGTAATATTAATAAAAATTTAAATAACAACTTTCGATTTAAATTATATTGATATATATTTCTATTAAATATTATTTGTTATCATTGAAATTAGTTTCAAATTGGATATAACTTTATTGTTAAATTACTTGAAACATATGTGTTGTTGTGTTAAAAAATATTATAATTAACTAAGTTTTAATGGAAACTATTTAATAATCTCGTAAACAAATGTATGTGTCCTTTACATTTAATATATTAAGTGTAATGTCAAATATAATTAGAAAACAATTTTTAATATGTATCAATAGGGAAATTATTAATTAATTTTTTTAAATTTACATTCAAGTCTCAAAATTTTGAAAAAAAATTCAATTACCAAACATTTAAAATTAGATATGTTTTTATAATAAAAAAAATTATAATTATATATTAAAAGTACTTTCAAAGTATTTCAATAAATTATAAAAAAAAAATTATTTTTATTAGTTAAATTAATCAATAAGGCCTAAAATATAATGATCAACGACATGTCATAAACGAAATATTAAGTTGTTAAAAAAATATCACTTTTTTACGATTTAATTCTATTAATTAAAATCATTATTAAAATTAATGATTTTAAAATTATACTGATAAATAATGAGTTATTGTGACGATAAATGTTAAGAAACTGAAAAAAATATAGAATTCTGATGTACATTTTTTACAATGAAATAAATGGAAACTTTCATAATAATTAACTGTTTTTTTTGCATTTAAAACCTATATTAATTTATTATATTCTTAATATTTAATTTCTATAATTTTTTTCAATATTAATTAGTTTAATCCTTTTCTATTTGACTCTAAAATTATAAATTAATTCTAATTAATAAATTTGGTGATGATTTAATTAAAACAATCAATTAATTGCTATTGTATCTTGGTACAATTTATTTTCACCTTAAAATAAAATTATATTACAAATATTTGGTTCGGTGATTATATGTGTACATAGAACGTGCATTTGACACGTATCGGTTCAGTCCGATTTATCCTAAAAGCCATTTCGAGATCATCTCTTTATCATAAAATTATAAAAGCCAAAATTCAACATTTCATCTATTATTTTTTTTCATGCTTTTTATTAAACGAAAAATAAAAATCTATATCGATTCTTAGAAAGCATATGACTAATTATTATTAAATGAAATGATAATATTTTTTTCAATTTTAATATAAATTGAAGATTAAATTGCTAATAAAATTACGAAGACAATTTTTATGCAAGTTTCTTTGAAAACTTAAACATTTTCTTTTATATATAATCCTTCAAAAAACAGTAAATAATTCTCTTTATCATGCGATAATATTTGCAAACTATTGCTACATTTGTTGCAAAAATATTTTTAATCGTTCCTGATAACATCACTATACACTGTGTTTTATATTATTTTTATTTATATATGATTCATTTTACACATTTTTTGTGTAATATTTATTACATGTTTTTTAAGTGCTATGAGAACAAGTGTCATATATAATTCTTGTTTTGTAATAAATTAATATAAATGAAAACAAACAATCTTGATCAAAAAAATTGCAAACACGATTTTAATTTCACTGATAAAAATATCATATTTGACTTTAATTTAACGATATTTTTCTTTGGATATGTAGATTTTTTTGTAATTGTAAAATAAAACAAAAAATGAAATAATATTCAATTTTTTTTAACTAAAAATACTTATTATCGTTAATTTTTGGCTTCAATTAATAATTTTATTTTTGCTTTTAATAACTAATTCAATTTAAATATCCTAAAATTCTCTCGCGTATAAATACTAATGATATATTCAAAAGCTTTTGTAAAAACTTCATTAGTTTAAATTTAATGTCATTTTGAAAATTAACATTTAAAAGTATTTTATGAACATTCAACACTGGTAACATTTGTTTAGTTTGTGATTAAAAGTTTACATTTTGCAAAAAAGTTAGCTTTCTTTTTACGAGTTACATTGAAAAATTGAGTTCGTAGAGATCAGCAAAGTTAGAAAATAATATTAAATGTTAAAAATACTTAAAATATTTAAAACTGGCATAAATATACATATTATAATATTACTAATTCATTAAAATTAATAACTTAATTTACATTCACTATAGATTCTTCAATAACTAGATTTTGGACAATAAGTACGTCTTAAAACTTAACAAACAAATTAAACAATTTAAATATATATAATATAGAGAAACATTACATTTTTTAATCAAAAATGTAGTGTCTGAATTTTGCACTATTTCAAATTCAGACACAAAAAACATTGGGATATTAAAAATTATCATTAATTTTTAACAAGACGCAATATAAATACTCTTCTAATTTTTACTAATTAAATTCTTAAAGCACTTTCGTTCTTTTTTTTGTATATGAATAATTAAAATCTACCTAAAGCGAACTACGAAATACTTTGTTCATTAGAAAACATGTCTCTCAAAACATTCCCAGTAAAATAATTTTAAAGGAGGGAATAATTAAAAAAAAAAATTATTCGTTCTTTCTCTTAAACAAAAGTATAGAAGCATTTTTCATGTAAAAATAAAAGTTGAGATTCAGTAGTAGAAATACGAAGTCATACATATTTTTTCCCATTGATTAACATTTTTTTTCTTAAATATTTCTTCGAATGTATACGAAGTAATTATTCTCAACTTGTAATATATATATATATATATTTATATAAATATATTCCAGAAAGTTAAATATTTTATTCTGTTTATATGCACTGTGCATGTTTCTTTTTTTATATACGTATTTAAGAGACAAAAAAATATAGAATACAAAAGAAAAAAAGAAAAAAAGCAGTCATTATTGAATCACTTACGTGGATTGACTAGTAAATTAAACAAAAATTGTAGAAGGACGTTTTTCTTTCTTTAGAAGGCATCTTTGATATTCTGAAATTGTTTTATGGCCAAATCGACGGGCAAATCAAATTTATGATTTGTAAGTCGATCGAGAGTGTGAAAAGCGTCTTGAAAACCTGTGAAGAAATATTTATAATTAAATAAATTGACATTAAAAATTTAAGTGTATTTTAAATAAAAATAAAATATAAATAAATAATATTATTATTATTGTCGATTACATTCAAATACTTGCCAGTTTTTATGACATAACTCCAAGACATATAATGATTTTCTAATAAATATTGACATTGCAGAATCAATTTTAACCACACAACTAGTTTATTGGCGCTGAAATAGAGATAAAATGTAATTTTTTATTTATGCTAAACTAAATTTAAAAATTGACTCACTTCAATGATGCACAGATGAAAGCCTTGAAATGTGTATCATAACTTCTTTTATATGGAGTGTGAGATGCAATTATGTTACCGATGGTTACTAATAAACTCTGAAAAAAGGAAAATAAATTATTTTTTTCTTCATTTATAAGTTTTATTTTATTTTTCTCACCTGCTTAGATGAGACGGGCCTACTTCCAACGAGATCAAGATTAAAGCTTTGTGAGAGTTTTTGTGCTGGCGCAGAATTATAACGTTGTCCATTTTTAATTTCGTAATATTTCAAAATAATTAGCCATGCGTGCATAGAATTACTAGTCGCTGGACTATTTTGACTTCTTTGTGGAAAGCATCCAACAAATGGTACAACACTATTCACATGAACATCGATACTCGATCCATGTTGCATTAAATCACGAATAGCAATAGCCAAATATTTTCTCACCGCCGAAGTAATTTTTATATTATTCTGCGAAATAGGTGAATCCGAATCCGATGAATATTCTACATCATTTACAAATTCTTCATTATTATGACGATGTTGATGATGTAAATTTTCAGCTAGACACTCGAGAATATTTTCCACTGCAATATCAAGTCGTGTTCGCAAATCGCGCCAACTGCATACATTCTTTTTTTTGAAATTACGTTTCGATCTTTCACTACTGCAGCCAAGTTGAGATAAAACGTACATATGTAAAAGCATCAAAACTTTACGCACTGTATTTAAGCTCTCTGTTTGTTTATCATCGCCAATTGTTTTCTTATGAAATGATGATTGTTTAGAAAATGATGCTGTTGACGATGAGGCGGCTGTTGTTCCATGCGTGTGAACTGGACAAGCGCAAGTGCACGCTAATGTTTCTGTACTAATTTCACCTTGGAGATAATTGATGAATCGTTCGAGATCTGCGATTTGTGTTTTTAATTGACCCACTAATTGTTCTTTCATTTTTAATGGACTGACGATCTAAAAGGAGTAAAATATTTTTTTAAATAGAGAAACATTTTTTTAAATTTTTTAAAAAAAACATACAAACCTGACTAATTGCACAGTCAACTTGCCATCTCAAATCATCGAGTGGCAATTTACAAAGATCATCAACGTCAAAGTTTAATTTTTCCTTGAGATGATCTGAAAAATTATCCACAAATTAAAACTTTATTCCACTTTATTGGATTTTTAATCAATTTTTTTTTTTTTTTTTTTTGCTAAATTACTAAAAAAAATTTACTTACTGATGACAATATTTTGTCGTTCAAGAACAACACTTTGAGGTAAATCGGCATCGCCCGTTTCGTATGCATATTTTTCCAAATCTTCAAGTTGTGTTTTTAATTGGGTTATTAATTCTTTTTGTTTGGATCGTTGCAGTGCCATTTTCGATTCAAGTTCACTATCTTTCAATTCACCCGAATTCTGCAATTATTTTTGATAATTAAAAAAACTTTTGTAAAAATTAAATAACACAAAATTTCTTAATATGGAAATTTTTATAAATTAAAAAAATATTTCAATTTAAAACAAAATTTGTAAATATAATTGAATGAATTAATTTTTAATTTAAAACAATATTTTTTTTTTTATCTACATACACTTTGTCTATCAGAAGAAGGAGTCGATGATCTGCTGCTACTAATTTTTAGATTATTTGGAACATCAGGAATACCACGAAATGCAAATTCTTCCAATTCTTTGAGCAAGCTTTCTTTTTTCTCAGTTGGTGCATCAACAATTTGACGAAGCCGAAATTGAACCTTGAAAATTGAATTTTAATTTTTAAATACAATTTTGAAATACAATTTTTTAAATTACAAATAATATAATAACAGAATACCTGAGCAAAATGAGTAGTTAATGCAATTAATGACGAATTTAGTGTTTCTTGTTCTTCTTCCAAAATTCTCAGCCTTTCCAATTCATAAGGCAAACTAAGAGAGTAAAATATATTACAAAAAAAAGAATTAGCAAAATGTTCATTTAGGAAAATAGATACTTTGAATATAAGAGAAATTTAAAGAATTTACTTACTTTTCCATAGAATGATAATACTTGTAATCGTCTTTAAAGACCTCTTTAAATTCATCCTTAAATTCATCACCATCATTGGCACCAACAGGAGCCCATCTTTCGCCACAAGGTTTTTCACTTTCATCGGAATTATAAAAATCATCATTTTCATTGGACTTTAACATTTCGTTTGTTGGTTCTATCATTTTTGATATTTATTTTTTTTTAAATTCTTTTAGATTTTATTCCATCAAAATATACGCCACCAGGTTAAGAATATTCTTGTTCATTGACTAATTCAATTTTTTTTTTATATAAAACAATTGTCATGAAAAACTCCACTCTAAATTCAAGAGATTTTTCTTATTTAACTCCTTCATTATTATATTGTTAATTCAAATACACTTTTATCCATGAAAAATGTTTTTCTATTATCACAATTTTTGACATCTGTCATTAATTTTTAATCCATAATTAACGTCTGCGCACGTGCGGATATTTGTTACTTTTGTTTGTGACTGTATCACTCTCATCTCCCACCATCACTTAGAAATTTTAAAGCTCCATTCACAAATTCTATTCTGCGCATTTTAGTTATTTTAAATAAGCGCGCGCTATTTCGACCAATGAGGTGAATTCAGAGACGGCAGGCAAGTAAGCTCACTTCCGGTTGCCGGAAGTGCGGCGCTACTAGCAAACTCCCGCCAAAACCATTTCTTCCTCATTATTCTACCGGTTGCAGAGAGGAGTGTATGCAAAAGAGTGAATTCTTTGCTAATATTATTTTATTTTTCGAGTGTTTTATTTTCTTAGATTGAGCTTTTCGGTGTTCTTGAAAGTGTCGTAAGTAGGTGTAGAGTAAAGGAGAATAAAATAATCGAGTACAACGCGTATTTAGAGAGAAGAAAAAACATTTTTTTCGTGATTGACGCTTGAGGGGTAAGAAAGCCGTTAACGAAAAATTGACAATTTTTCGTCGTCACGTTATTAATTACTTCAATCATATTTTCCGAATAGTATAATCGTGTTGGATGAATAATAATCGATCTTCTAATAATATACAGATTTTGAGATCGCGTTGTTAATTGTTGAGCTGAAAATTGTTGCCATTGTCGCATAGAGAAGGAAGCAGGTCCGCCATTTTTTTTTCTATATACTTATTTTTCGATTTTTCTCTTTAGAACGTGAATTTATTTATTGCTATTATTTTATTCGTTCGGAATTGAGAAATATTCTTCAAATAAGTAAGAATCGATCTCTAAATTGAGTTAAAATAGTTAATTTTTCCTTCGTGAAAATTTTATCCTTGAAAATCAGGGGAGGGGGAAATTCTGTGTCCGCCATTTTGTGCTCGCCTGGCGTACTTTTTCCCCAATGTCGTGGGAGGTGGTTCACAGAATTTTCTCGTTATTAATCGACAAATTTTTGTAAAAATAGATATTATTTCGGTATTTTAGTATTATTTTTTCACAAAATTAATCGGATTTATAATATATTGGATGATGGAATAATCGTTAATTGTAAATATATTCATCGTAAATGGAAGTGAAATTTCTTCTTTCTAGAAGCATCGGTGCTATTTTCTCTATTACTTTCTTTCGCATCGCGATCAAAAATATATTGCTTATCGAAAATATTACTTTTGGTCGATTTAGCAATATATTGATGAGTACAAGAAAAGCGTAACGCTTAACGATATTATTAACGAAATATCAAAGTCATATCCTAACCTAAAAATTGTTCATTGTTGAGAATATTGTCTTCAATATTTTTGTTTCTTGTTTGTGGGATCGCGAGTGTTTTAATAATAGAAATTAATATAAATCTATACGAAAAATCGAGATAGTTGAACCCTAACCTTAAAATCGGTTATTATTGAGAATATCGATTTTTGTTTTCATGTTTATAAAAGGGGGTCGCGAGTGCTTTAATAATTAAAATAAAATTATTCACTGAGCTGTTGGTAATAAATAGGTAAGAAAAAAAATATTTATTATTATTTTTATTATGCAGATTTTTATATGTTAAAATGATTTTACATGTTCTTATATATAAAAATTTTTTCAGCTTAAAATACAAGTGACGAGTGTGAAGAAGAAATAGGAAATGCCGTCTAAAAAGATGAAAGGAATAGCAACGCAGCCAAATATCTTCAGCGCCTGGGTGATGGAGTGCATCAACAATAAACATCAAATGGTAAGTCCTTCTGTTACTAGCATGATATTAATATATAAACCAAATGTGATATTTAAACAATTTTACATATATATTGATAAATATGAATTTTTTTTTTTTTGATATTTTAAATATTTCTGTTGAGACATATTTATGTTTCGTATATATTTTTCGATTTTTTTCCCGGAGTTAAAAAACAATTTCATAAAATTTGAAAGTTTTTTTTTGATTAACTTTCAAATTGTTAAACAAAAAAATTTATTATATTTATTTTTATTCTTGTTTATTGAATTAGTCGGTCGATTTCGATTTTGTTCAATAAATCGTCAACAGATGTTGCCAGCAGTCTCGATTTCTTTCTGTTTGTTATTATTCGCAAATTGTCATTTTTGTCGAGAGAATATTATATATATACTTAGAGCAAAAGTGATCTCTTCTTCTTCTTCAAAAAAAAATATCCAATTTTACATTTTGTATCGCAAAATATTCAAAAATTTATTGTGTTTTTTGAAGTGGCTCGTATATGGAAATAAAAAAAAAATCATCATAAATAGATTTCGAAAGATATTGTTTATCTCGAATGACATGGCATTCATAACCTCAAATTTTGATAAAATAACATAAATATCAAGATCATCACAGATTATTTATTCCACGCTTGCGCAATTCATTTTTCTTTTTTTGATATGATTTGCGACTTTTATTCAAAAAATAAAATCAATTAGAAAAATTGAAGATTGAAATTTGTAAGTAGAATTATAATTATTTTATATGCAGATTTTAATTAATTTTACATCTGGATTTTTTTTTTAATTTTCTTTGAAAAATGAATTTTATTTATATAAAATTTTTGAATATTAAAATTTATTTTGTTGGGTGACGGTATTTAAATGAATTTATTTCATTAAAAATAAAATATAAGGTGCAATTTTATTATGTTTATTATTGTTTGATGTCATATAATCTGGTATTCAACTGTGTAATTAAAACTAAATGACTTAAGATTAATAACTAGTTATTAGTACCGGTTACTAATATAATGACCTCGCGATCAAGATTGAATTTCATCAACTTTGTGTAGACAAAAAATTATGATAATTATTGCTCTAGATTTCAATTATTATTATACACTTCGAAAAATGAAAGTTACGTGCGTATCATAACAATAATTAATATTTTAACCTTGACTTTATTAAAATAACCATTTCTATTTAACAATTTTTTTTTTTTATTACTTTTATTATTTATTTTTTTTTATATATTTGAAAATTGGAAATAATATAGAAAAAAAAAATCAAAACATAATAACATAAATTAAAAAATGCAATATTAATAAATTAAAAGGGGGGAAAATGAAAAAAAAACAATTGTTGTTGATTCACTCGATTTATTCACGCAAACAAATATAGATTTAAATATTTGTCATTAATCTATACACATATGCATATATACATATATATTCATATACACGGGCAATTAAAAGCATTGTGTATATATATATGGATATGCATGTAATATGCATTTATACATTACATTTTGTGTGTAATATAATTTTACTTTTTTTTTTTATCGAAGTTAGAATACATTTTTCTTTGTTCGTTCTTTTTTTTCGATACCCAGTACCGTGATTTGTACGACAATCATATTTTTTTGCGTTTTCTTGTTTTTCTTTTTTTTAATCATTTAATATTTTATTAGGTATGTATAAATAAAAAGTATGAAAATGACATTTTGTTATAAATAAATAAAAGCCACGTGCAGGACGCTACGTGCGTCAATTTTTATTTTTTTTTTTTTGATTTTTTTTTTGTTTTTTTATTTTTGTAAAAGTAACTTAAATAATCATCTCGGTTGCCTAAATCCATCCATGCACACGTAAATACACATATATTGTATATATATACAGAATCTCACAGTAACGGTACTCACAAAGTAACGAAACCTTCTTTTAATTCAATATTAATAATAATTAATTAATTAATTAATAATAATAATAATAATAAAATTTATTTAATTTTTTTTTTCTTCAAATTCTCTATTATACGTATAATCTTTACTTTTCCCCTTTGGAGCACCATCGTTTGAGATATCGCTCATGTAAATTAAAACATTCATACTTGCACAGTACCCACTGTTACGAATAATAAATATAAATAATACAGACTGGTCCTCGTCGCAACGAATTTTTTTTTGGGAACAGTTTTATAATTATTTCTTTCTATTGTAATTGTGTAACACTCGAAAAAAAAATATTCTAAATAATTTCAAAGGAAATGATTTTTTTTCAAAATAATTTTCTCAAAATTATTTCAGAATTGAACTTATTAAATTTAATCGTTGCGGCCGATAAAAAGAAATTACATGTACGAGATTTTTGACAAATATAATAATTATTAATTAATTTAATATTGATCATTTTCGATTGCGTTCAAAAATAAATAAAATATTTCAATAAATTAAATACCAAATAGTTGACGAAGTACAATATTTTGAGTTTTTTACTCATAAAAAAAAAAAATTCAGTACAGGCGCAGAAAAGTTTATAATTAATGTTAATTATTCCTTTTCGTATTTTTTTCTCTCTCTCTCTCTCTTTCTCTCAGCTGTTTTCTTTAACAGAACACATTCATTTGAACATGAGAAAAAAAATGCAAAATGGTTTGAAAAATAAATAATTAAAAAAAAAAAAATTGAGCTCTTAAAAAAAGTTTGATATTTGTAAATAAAATGCATTTGACATCAGTCGACATTTTCAAATCTTGATAAGATTTTCTATTAATTTTCATATAATAATAATAATAATAGTAATAATAATAATAATAACAAATTTTATCTAGATTTGAAGAGTCAGACTTGAAAAAAAAATTTGAAGTACAATTATCTGTTGCCACGTTTCTTAAAAAAAAAAGTCGATAATGTAAAATGCGGTATTAATGATATATGCAAAATAAGAAAGGCTACAAATAGTAGAAAAAAAAAATGTGCATTATAAATAAATTGAATACTGATTATGGAATGGTTCGGATTTCTATATAAATTACGATTGCAAAAATTCTTTGATAAAACAGCTGCCCCAATTCACGCACTATAATTTTTTTTTTTGTCTAATTAAAAAATTGTCATTATCCAGAAAACAGAACAAAAAAGGAAAATTATTTTATTAGATTTAATATTTTCATTTTTTTTGCTCTATTTTCTGGAATTATGACTAGGAACCAATTTTGGAGCCTTTCTGTGAATGTAAATTAAAAAAATTTTCAATACACATCAGTAAAAATTAATTCTAAGACAATATAAATATATACGATAATTGGGACGTTTTTGCCTATTCATTCGAACCTGCGATTTGATTGGCAAATATGTCCAAATTTCGTATATATATAGTCAATTTTTTTTTTGATTTTCATATACATTTATATATATATATATATTTAATATAATATATAATAGTTTTTTTTAATGCAGCGCCGACATAAATACTTTACAATCTTATCGTCAATAATTTCACGTAGGTACGTGCAAAGAAAGCTTCGTTACAAAACGAACGACGTATGTTTTTCCTAGGTCCTTTCACTTTTATGCGAAATACCCATATAGATAAAAATAGATTGAAATCGCACACACAAATCGGCTAAGAAATCTTACTTGGGTTACTTAATTTGTAAAATTACTTAAGAAATTATTTTCAATATAAAGATAAAATTGCATTAAAATAACAAAACTTATACTCATTACTCAAATAATCTTTCAAAAATAAATGAAAAATATTTAAATAAATATTGAAAATGTAATTAAAATTTGTTTATAATAATTCAATAGATTGAGGTTTCATTTTATTTTTTTTGTGGAAATTTTCTTTTTTTATTGAAAATATCTTAATTTAAAAAAAAATGAATTCACGTCGTTCGATTTGTAAGTTCGCTATTATAATACTTAGATTCGCTTAACTTAAGGACGTGAAAAAATAAATAAATACTATACGTAAAAATATCGGACGTCGGCCCCAAAAATAAAGGCACTATGATGATAGTATTGCAGTACAATAACAATAGTGATATGGCTATTGTGATAATAAAATAATGTTACGATAATGAAACAAGAAAATCCTGATAGACGTATATATATGTAAAATTCCCTTCTTTCTTTTTCGATCTCTTTCTCGTATTATATTTATTATGATAAAACATTTTTTTAAATTTAAAAATAAAAATTTTAAATACTTGTAATATAATGAGAATATATAAAATTGAATCGAATCGAGTGATTAAAGAACATCATCAGTGTTATATATATAGAGATTTATATCGAGTTGTATCACTCACTTTCGATCCGTATCCCCGCGTGACCATTCATTTTCCTCTCAACGCCCTAAATCACTTTCTCCTTCGTTTCATTGCTCTGGATTTTAATAGTTATTTCGTTTACGTTACCTCAACGTCTTATCATTGACTTAATCTTTATTTTGCGGGAATCCTCAACATCTATCAGGATTTACGATAAAATATTTTGTTTTGTTGAAAAATTCTACGGAAAACATTCTTGAGACGGGATTTTTCAGATTAATATACTTTTTTTTTTCGTTTGAAAAATAGCACATATTTATTTTTTTTTAGCTTTCTGTCAATAAATTTATGTCCGGGGTTTAAATTCACACACCCAGAGAAAAGTTTTAATAAATAATAAAACTTAATATATAATAAATAAATTAATTTTTGTTCTTTTTAAAATTATTTTTTTTTTTAACTTTCTTTTGAAGAAAATGAATAATTTTCATTTAAAAATTGAATTAAATTCTATAATTAATAAATTAGAATTAAATAAATTTTATTTATAAATATAATTTAAATTAAATTGAATTTGATTTATTTTATATTTAATGTATTTATAATTTTTTTTAAAAAATAATAAAGTAGAGAGTAATTTTGGAAAAAATATAATTTATTTCCATATTTAATTTAAAACACAGAATTTTTTTTTAAATAAATAGTTAATAACATATATGCGTGAAATAAATAGACTAATAACAAATTTTTATAGAAACATGTATGTTTTTGATACCTTAATAATTTTAATTTAACAAAATATTGTTATTTTTTCAAACTTTTTTCTGGATGTTCTATAAAATGAACTTGTAGGTTAATTTTTTTTTTTTGCAATTAATGAATGAAGTGACGTCCAATATGGCGAGTAATTTATGACAATGACAAACATTCTTATAGATATTTTACATTTTTTTTTTTTTGTTCTATAATTAAAGAATGTTTGTCAAAGATTAAATGACTCGCACCTCTGGGCTCAGCCTTACCTCAGGTACCCCAAAGAAAACCGGAGCGTGCGGCAGTCGCGTGTCTCGTTTAACCGGTGCAAAAACATAATACATAATTCTATTTTTATAATAATAATAATATAATAATAATAATAATAATAATAATTATAAACGTAATAAAAAATAATAATGCGCTTCGCAGTTTGCGCATAGGTGCGCGCAATAAAACGCACGGCTTTTTAGCGCGTGGATATTTTTTTTTTCTCGACTAGAATTTGTGTGGGATGTATGGCTTTTCGTACCGTTCCGTTTTCATGCGGGACGAGGACGACGACGATGATGACGACGACAACGACGACGACGACAACAACTATTGAATTGTAATATTTGATGGGACGTCATAACGACGGTTGTTGATGGTTATTGATACTCGCCTATTCAATCTTCTTTTCTCTCCTCTCATTTTTTTTTTGGGTTTTTTTTTTTTTATTACACTCCCTTTTTATCTTAATTTGCCATTTTTTTTCTCTCTCACTTTCTTTCTGTTCACCCACCCACCTGGTCCTGCGCCGTGCATCGTCGTATCTTCGCATAAGTATCTCCCTTTATTTCTTGCGGCCAAGGTACTCGGCTATCTCCTGGAACTTTTCTTTCTCGTCCTCAAGCAGCAGCGCTTGGATGCAGCTCGTAAAGTATTCGGTGCTGAAGCAATTTTGCCTGTTTTCAAAACAAATAATTATTTATTTATTAGTAAAATTAAAAATCGAATTTCATATACTAAATTTTGGTCATGGTCAATTCATGATTTGTTAGTAAAATATATATAAATGGAAAGGTGACATATAAAGATTATAGAAAATAATCATGTGAGATTTTCTCGCTAGAGCCTGTAAAAAAAATGAACATCTTTCTCATCTCTCGATATTCCGTCTCCTTGGTTAGATTACCCATTTTTTGTCTCGTGATTTCCAAATTCTCTTTTTTTTTTGTAATGTGCGAAAATTTTTTAATGCAAAAATAAATCCCAGAAAAAAAATAATTATCAGGAAATTTGGATTATAATTATATAATTATTAGGGAGACGAACTTGGGTGATGATTATTGCACGGGAGAGAGAGATAGGAGAAAAATTTCACTTAAGCATCATTATCAAAGTTAATAATTTAAACTTGACAATGAACTTTTAGTAGTGATGTTATTAAAGGATATAATTAGATAGAAAAGGATTTTGTTAGGAATTACCTAAGCCTTCTTAGACTTGTTGCATCTGGGTGAAATCGTTACAAAGGTATCGGTCCAACAGGTGTACAAGGCGTTACATTTGTTGTTAAGGGATTTTTTGCTGCCAAATGAGAGAAAGAAGAAAGGAAAGCGAGTGCATAAGGTTAAATAGGTGCGTGTTTTTTTGTATGTGCATTAGGAAAAAGAAATACTATATTTAAAGAAAATAATGTGCATTTTTAAAAAATTAAAATAAAAAAATTAGAAGATTTGTTTTTCGTTGATGAAATTAGTTGAAAATAGAAATAGTTAATAAAGCAGTAAATAAATGAAAAAACTAAGTGAAATCATAAACAAAAAAATAAAAAGCTACCTAAACCCCGGGATCAGCTCCATGGAGTTGTTTGATGGATGTTTGTATTTGTTCCATTTCATCCTCCAGTTGCAAAACTTCCACGCAGCCCTTGAAGTAGTCTGACGTGAAGCAGTTCTTTCTGTAAATGTTCATTAGCAACATAATAATCTTTGCTTCTTTTTTTTATTGTGATTTCTGATGACTTGATTATTTAAAATCGTAGAAAATATATACGATATTCCTTATTTATGTTTAGTGATTTGAAAATTATTTGCTAATATAGTTTTCTTTTTTTGAAAATTTGTTCTTGAATAGTAATGAAAATTATCATCAAGTTATAATTCTCTTTTATACTGGACACAAGTGCCAGGTAATAACGGATGTACATATGTTGGCATTTGCTCGCGTGAGCTATAAATAGAAGAGAAATCTTTCGATACGCGTGCCAACGTATTACAGAGCACTCACAACAGTTAAAGCGCAATGTGTATTATTCTTTTTTATACACTATATATATATATATAAGTGCAAATCTAATGATTTTATATCTTAGAATAATTCAAGAACAAAATTTTTATTCTCGAGAATCGAATCTTGATTAAAATACAGAAAAATATATTGAATATATGAATAATAGAGGGATTTAGGATGAAATTAAATGATTTATATATACTCACTTGCAAAGTAAATGTAACTGGGGCTCTCGGAATAGATTGTAACAGTCTTCACAGATACGATCCAATCGGGCGAATAGACTTTTGTCGTAGACACCTTTGCATTGAATGTCCATGAAGGACCTCTTGCTGAATGGATGACCCATGAGTACACCGGCATCTGCAATTCCAAGACACGAAGATACCAGAAGAAGCGTCATTGACCAAGCAAGAACTGACAGTAAAGCTGGACATGACGATGTTGGACACGTTGATAATGCAGGCGACGTCAACTGTGACGATGACGTCGTGAACGTTGATGACAAACGTTCCACTGCACACGAATTTGATGACAAGGACTGAGAGGTTGACCTCCTTTGTTGACGATGCATCATCTGCAATCAAAAATAAAATTCACAATTAACACTCGGATTTTCAGATTATTTTCTAGGAGTCAATTTTTTGCCATCTCTTTTTCATTATAGAGATAATTCGTCTTCAATATTCTTATCCGTTGAGTATTAGAAAGATAGGTTTCTTTTTTGAAAATTTAATTTGAAATTGTTTGTAATGTGATACATTACGAAGGTCCTTATAGACTATATAAAGTATAACATCCTTAACCAGTTCTGCAAGGAACGATTGCTGTGAATGGACCACCCGCAGGAGGACTCCACCTGTAATCGTTCTTAACCGACAACTTCATTAACCGGACTCCTGCACCATGTTCTCTCACTCTCTGTCTTTCTCTCTTATACCCTTCGTCCTTTTCCACTCAAATCCCCCTCCCAACCCTCTTTCTTATGGAACTCCAATCTCGACTTTCTGTCTCTCCCTATATCCTTGCCGAGTAGCAGCACACGTTTCGCCCCGTTTCTCTTTTTTCGGGGCATAATCGTTGCTCCCGGGTGGGATTTTATTTTTAGCCACAGGACCGATTCTCAGAATTTTTGCATTGCTATCGCGTCTCCCTGCGGGCAACCATTGGTCCGGATCTGGAATTTATTGTTGAAAAAAAAAAAAAAAAATCTACAACCTTTAATTTTCAACCAATTTTCAAGATATTTTTAAAGGCATCATGAAAATCAATTATTTTTCGGTATATATTTAAGGAAATTGATTTTTAATTTTGTATTTATAGTATATGGGGAATTTTTTTTCTGAATTGATAACTTTAAAAAAAAATAACCCAGTGTGTCATCTTGAAAATCAAGAGTATTTTTTTTTTCCTAGAATTGTGTAATTTTTTTTTCGAGTGAAATTTTTGATTAAAAAGAGTTAAAGTAAATTGTTTTCAGAAGCTGGTATATTACGCTAATCATTAGCTTTAATTTAAGAATAGATTGATGAAATCATGCGTTTGAAACTTGGGTTCAATTGCTCCCATTTAACCTATCTGAGAGATCTATTTGTATGCCTTTACACTGGTAATTTAGAATTGAAATTTGTCGTATAGAACATATATATTTCGTCATAATTTCGTTGAAGTAGTATAGCAAATCCAGTCGTTTAATGAATTGTAATAAGGTTCACTTTTTTCAAAGGGCGCATTATTTCTAATTCAAACTTGCAAAACCAATCAATCAAGTTTCTCCTTTATTAGAAAGCTACATTACTTTCATTGAAAACTTGCAATGATCGATTACAACGAATGTAGAGAAATTTGTTTTGTTTGAGAATTTAAAAAAATTGAAATACTTTTTGACAGAGAAAATTAAAAGGCATTAAAATAAGCTGCAACGCTTATATTATTTTCTCTCTAAATCTGAATTAGTAAAAATGTTCACTAATTCCAATTAGTAACTCACTTTTTGCTTCTCAATTAGTAAAATTTTACTAATTATTAGTAACTTTTAACTAATTCTAAAGCAAAAAGTGAGTCACTAATTTAAATTAGTAAACATTTTTACTAATTCAGATTTAGAGAGTTAATCCAATTTTGCTTATTTTAATCCATTTTGGTATTAAAATAAGTAAAATTGGATTAAAATAATAACGCTTATTTTAATGTCTTTTAATTTTCTGTGGAAGTGTATTATTTCTTTAAAGGTTTTGTTCTATTTCCAATAATGAAGGTTATGAACTATTAAACATGATTGCATGTTTTATAGCATTGAAATTATATTTGCCTTAGGAAAAGCTATTTGATAACAAATTAATGCATTCGAAACTGTCAATTCAACTTCCCACGATATTAGTCATTCTATATTTAGTAAAATGTTGAGTTTAAATAATTTCTTCTTGCGAGAGTAAATAGTTTTATGTTTGTGTAAGTTTTGATCGCGCTATATATATATATATATTGAGTCCTTATCCACTTGGCGTATCTTATATGAGAGAGAAAGGTGGAAGCAATGGGTGGTTGGTGGGGTGATGGCAGTGGTAAATAAAGAAAAAGTCAATGGGGACCGGTTGGTCGACAGGTGAGGTCTTTCCTTGGCTCGGACATGCACAGGTGTGCAATCTGTAAATCCCCTTTAGCAAAAAACCACACGTTCGCTCTCTCGATCGTTCGTATATATACGATCTCGCACAATCTAAGTTCGCGGATAGAGGTATATATATATTCATGGACATGTACATCCAAATATGTTTATCCACAACTTTCCCGAAGGGAACATTAGGTTTGTTTTCGTTTCGCCATGATGGCTTTCTGTATTAACATTCCGCGTTTTCTCTTTATATTATTTATTTTGACGAAAATATTCGAAAAATTTCGTTTTTGGAAAAATTATTATGGGAATACTGCAAAAAGAAGTATCTTATTTTAAGATGTTTTGGTCGCCTTTTTAAGATGTTTTTTATAACTTGCTTCTAATTATCTAAAACAACTTTAGTTTCTTAAGATATAAGATGGATAGGAAGATAGTTTTGGTAACTTGCTTCCAATGTATCTTATAATAAGATACTTCTTTTTGCAGTGTAGTTTATTTATTTTGTGTAGTTTTTAATAAATTGATTTTTGATTTTATTCATCTGCGTGGGAATGTCGTTAGCTAAAATGACTGCTACATATGCTATCTTTGGGTTTTTTTATCTCTGTCCCGTATTTCCCCCTTTGCGATCACTTTCCTGGATGTTATTAGTATTCGCTATCCTCAGGCATATGGAATAAAGAGTAAATAAAGATATAAGATGAAGTTATTCAGAGAGTGAGAGATCAAAAGGTATAACGCATATACGAATGATGCGGTGTATCGTTAGATAGATCGCGACTCTCGCCAGGTGGTCCTTCTCGTGCCGGATGACTCAATCGTGAGAAGGCTGAACAAACTCACGAAAGCTTGAAGAAGAAGAAGAAAACGAAAAAGATGAAAGAGGGGGAAAAAAAGAAGAGGAAAATAAAAAGAAGAAGAAGAAGAAGAAGTAGTAGAAGTTGAAGCTACAAGTATCGCTCGTGCAGTACAGATATGTATTTGTGTGAACATAAGAGTATATAGAAGGGAAGGGGACCTCTAATTAGGCGGTCTGCCGCCGTTGCGTACACATCCATAATATGAAGCATGTGATACTGCTGTCGTGTGTTACTGTGTTCATACACGCGCTATACGTGAATATCGTATACCGAGAGCACCAAAAAAAAAAAAGATGATGAAAAAAACGAAAGCCGTAAATCAACCGCCAACGAGACTGCTGCGGCTCGATCTCTTTGACGTGCTCGGACCTACCTACCTATCCCTTTCGCCGCTATTCTTTGTTTATGCATCGCGACATGGAGAATACTTTTTGGATTGTTATAACCCTTTTCGTTTCTTTTGGGATTTTCTAATCTTTTATTCTCTCTCTCAAAAAAAATAGAATTATAAAAAATCACATTTTTTTCCATTTGTCTTTTTTCTTCGTTAGGAAACTATAAATTGTTTATGGAAGTGGATCAGGTGTGTTGCAAAGGTATATAATCGTGTTTAAAATTTCTTAGTTTGCGTTTCCATGGAAATGTATATGAGTATTTTATTTTTTTTTCGATATAGTTCGCTTGCATCCAAGATCAACAAGACGATAATTTTCACAATTGACATCCAGGTATGACCTGACTTGATACTATAGCATTCTCCTCTCTCGCAACGACGACATTCGTTTTCAGGGACGCAGCAGAACTTGTATTCAATCCCTTTTATATATAAATTTCTTGATTTTATTCCTTTGGACAAGTTCGTTTCTCGGTGGTCTGATAAGGCCTCGATATATTAATTATATTATCAGTTTCTTACGGAATTAGTAAATTAAACCAATTTGTATGAAAATTAAATAAATATTTTATGCAATTTTACTTTTATATATAAAAACGTAAAATTGTATAATATAACTTTATTATTATTATTATTATTATTATTATTATTATTATTAGTATTATTATTATTTTGAGTATTTTTACTATTTTTGTAATATAAATGTTATATTGTGTAGTAACAAAAGATATTTTGATATTTTTGTTTACGAGAGATTTTCCTGTTTACTGAAATATGAAGATCAGAATTACGTCAATGCTAATTATGAAAGATTTGTAAAACAATCCGAATCTTTATAGGGCACTCTGATTCCAAATTTAAAATTAAATCTTAATGTATATGCGTCACAAAAGAAACGATGCGATGGGACATTTGAACTGTGATCGGTCAAACGTGCGTGTGATTAATTCTAAAATTAACAGTAATCAAAATTCATGCGGTAATTTCGTTATTTGAAAATGCTGAATTTTCCGGTTTAATGAACATTCATATAAAACTAATTCAATTTTTACACTGTATATAATGAAAAAAGTAAATATTTACTTGATCTAAATAAGTGTTATAAATATTTATTTGATCCAAATGAATATGATATAATATATATGATTAAATGATATGATTAAAATTTTTGTAATATAGTAGATAATAATCGTGTGATGATTAATAATTTTTCTAATTGTGTAATAATTGATTTACGAATGTTCATTTAGGTTATTTTAATTGTCAGTGTTTTATATAATTTTTCTCGAATGTTAGATAAAGCGAATGTTAATATAAAAAAATTTCCAAACTTTCTGTATAGATAAATTCTGAGATGAATGCGCATATAAAAATAAATTAGGCAAAATGCGTATGTGCAAAAAACAGAGAGAGAAATGGCGAGTCATGAAAATTAATAAGCCCTAGTTTATTTTATATCATTTAGATCCTTGACATATTAATTTTGTGTGTGTGATAAAAATAAATTTTTGATGATTCGATTTTTAAATTTTTATTTTTGATTTCTATATATTTTGAAATTAAATATTAATTTGAAAGTAGAAATTTTGATTCTTTAGAATTTATTAAAATACTCACGAAATATATATATATATGTAATAGAGAATAGAATTTTTAGAATTTGAATCCTTTTCTTTGAAAACTTTCTTCGAAGCAAACCACTACTA